AAATTACAAGTACTGAACAGTCTGAATATAGACTGAATAGATCTTAATTGACTGCAATTAAATTGTCTGAACAATACTAAATTAACTGAAGTCAATAAGTCTGAAAGAATTTATTGTTGAGGGTTTTAAAAGCTGTTGAGATCTAAATGACCGTTTCCGATCAAAATTGGTTTACTAGTGAAATATACCCAAATGATTGATTGATTGATGTTTAACGCCATTTTCAATGCGGTTGAAAAACTGACAATCCTAGTCAATTAAGATTTGTAGGATGCACCTGCAACCTGTACTCACAACCTAAGTGTTGACAGGCTAGTGATAAATAGTTAGACTTCGCTGACCACTATGCCACCGAAGACTCCTACACAAATACATAATACAAAAACCCCACGGACGCTGGTCTAATTCTGCAGTTGACTGATAATCCATGCACTCTGGTAAAGGGTCTTAGAATCGTGATTATCCATCTGCAGAGTAATCCCATGGTACTGTGTCAGTACTGTTCTTCAATCCAGCGTGAAAGCAAAAAATAAAAATCAGTCTTTATGATAAATTGCTTTACTCTCCTGTAGTGTCTGTATTGAAAGTAGCTGTAGCCAATGTTTCCTTCCTCGTAGTGCAGAATTTTCTTTGCGCTAGTATTAACATTTTATTTACTCGACTTGAAGTATTTTCTTTTCCATCATGTACCTGTCTTAAATATGTACCAGTAGTGTTGTTCCAGGAATCGGTGTCTAATACGAAAGTGTTTGGAAAGTTTTGTACTCAGACTTGTGTAAGAGCGAAGTTAATAGCCTCAAACAACGCTTATTGTTTCTAATCCGATTGTTGACATCTTTGGTCTCACAATTCTGGGTAGAGATAGTTTTTTTGGCAAAGAATACAACCTTGATGTGCTCCGTATGATGGTTCTTAACACCTCCATAGGATTGTTGAAATGTTTAATTACTTCTCACTCTGGACTCACAATGTTTCCCCGAACTCTATGACGTCGTCCAAAAAGTCAGGCATTTTTTCCAAGACAAATGTTTGGTAAACGAAATGGCGTCCTTGCTCCTGACCTTATTCAGGGCCTATTAGTCTATTCAATATCTCATACTTCAGTCTTTCTTTCGAACTGAACTGTCCTTTCTGAAGTTTATTCTTTAAAGAGAGGCGAAAGATACCAAAGGACATTCAAACTTATAAGTCGAAAACAAACTGACAACGCCATGAGAAAAAAACGAAAAGCGACCAAAAGACAAACAACAATGCACATAAAACACAACAAAGATTAAATGTGACATTATTGACCTCAATTTTCTGTAACGCAATAATCACTCTGTTTATGATAATAGTTAGTTGTCAAGGCACCCCTATAATAAGTATCAATGGCTACATTTTCCACAAATGATTCCAGTTTATCTAGGTATCTATCTGTGGCTATCTCTTTTGTACTCTTAGTATATTCTTCTTATGATCACCGTCTTGTTCTTGTTTGGGGTCTTGTAGTTCTCTCCTAAGAATGTGGGGCAATTTTTTCTTCCAAAACATTCTCTCGTTTTCTTACAAAGAAGTCTTCATCTACCGTCTTTTTATTTACATTATACATTTCGAGGGTTTTTCCCTTTAACATTCAAAGAGTTTCTCCAATCTCTTTTGTTTCCACCAATGACGTTTATTGACGATATTGGAAAACTGAAGTTTATATAGTCTCCAATCATTGTATGTAGATATTTGGGAAAGGGTGGAACTTCCATGTTTTTTTTTCAGTGGTCCCAATGGCTCTGGGTAATGTTGGTTTACTTTTCTTGAATTCAGTTTTTTGTTAAAAACAAACTTAATTGACTAGTTATCTCCAAAATACCTAGTTGCTTCTGTCTGATAATCTGTTGGTATATGTTTAGTGTAATTACTTGTTGGTGTTATTTTTTTCCAACTTCTTTATTGTTTACATCTGACTTATCTTGTTGTCTCGCATCTTATTGAAAATATTTCAAAACGCATATTTCAGAATTTCTAGTGTTGCCTAACGAAACTGGGTTGAAGGGGGAGGCTGCAATACAGAATAATTATTGCAGACTGGTAGGAAATTAAACAATCCAAATAATAATTTTACAGTTAACCTGAACAATGTGGTAGATCTAAATGCGACACATGTACACATATACACAAGCCAAAGGTAACGATCCGGTCTCAATCTTTTCCACTGTTGAAGATATATCAGCTTGCTGAAGAATGGATAATATTAAAGATGTCTGTATTGTAGTACAGAAATCCCATCGCCTGTCCGGATAAATGAGACAAATTTAAGGCAGATGTGTTTCATCTGTTTACTTAGATTTTAAGTGTTATACACATTGTAAAAGCTCTTCATTACAATCCATGATTATTTATAATACAAGCTAATACTCTTGTCCAACTGTTTATGTAATCATGAAATCAGATTTCCTTGATTTGTGCTCTTTATTTAGCTGAGAGGATATTCACAAACTCCTTGTGGACAGGAAATTGCAGGTATCAATATAACACTGTACATAACATTTCAATCTTTGTCCAACAAAAACACGGATCTATCGTTTTTCTTTTAATATCAAATGCCATTGTCACTCAGACATAATAAAAATACGTTGCATAAAGAACAGTATAAACAATTCAATTCTATCACTGCGAAATGTTTCAGCATAGTTGGAATAACAGTTTTGAATCGTTTTACCCCCTTCTTTTAAAGATATTTTATTCATAAGGATATAAAAAGGAACCAGCAACATGCACATCATTTAAAAGCTCTCTCCACATTACATGTACAAGATATGAATCACGTATAAACAACTGCATTTGAAATTGTAGAACAACTGTACATTGGATTCATTCATACCCCTTATCAGCACACACAAACGAATACGTGAAACTGATACGATTTAGAGGACTTGAATGAGGAAAATAATATGTACAGAATGTCCAAACTCTTTCTACATCATAATTCTGATATATAGATATTAATAATAAGACATGTGGGATTTTTTTCAGTTAGTTAGCAATCTGACATAAATCAACAATACAAATCTCAACATGTCAACGTCTTCAAAAATAGAAGAGTTTTAATCATCTCAAGTCTAGACAAGTTCCATGAAATAAGACACAAAGAAATCTTAAATATTGTTTTTCTCTTTTATTTTCTTACAGTGACCAGACAGATGAGAATAAGTAAATAACATATTAAAATGAAAATACGTTATCTACATACATATAAAAATAAGAAGATGTGGTATGATTGCCAATGAGACAATTCTCCCATAGAGACCAAATGACACCAAAAATTAACAACTATAGGTCACCGTACGGGCCATGTACTTCCTATAGCTGTTAGCAATGCTAAGAACGAAACGCAAGATTTATATCAGTTTAATTATATCCTTTTCAAAAATTCTTTTAATCCAAAAAGAAAGCTTCAAAGGACACAAAGTTTGTAACGTATTTAGGTATTTATCTATCTTTGGGTTTCAAATGTTTGTGTATGAGCGTTCATGATGAAGGTAAATCCAGAAAAGCGATTTGGACGCACGAAATTTATATAGAGTTATTTTCATTTGTATTTGTTTGCTTTATAAATACTATTACAATTATCATAAATAGCGGAATTATAGAATGCATCTAGATGGAACATGCTTCGTAAATATATTCATTAACAATGCAATTGTGGTAAAATTCAGAACGAAATTATCCTTTTTGATACCTATAGTCTAGAAAACTGTTAATGTACAAAAATGTAAAATGTTTGTTGAAACCTAAAAATTCCACATAAACACGTACAGATCGTAGCATTAGACTTACTGGCCAAAGTTTGAATTATTCAGTGAGAACATTAGCTGTATAGTTAATAATATATTGCTTCTTTTCATTATTTCTGGGAAGTCCTAGTATGAAGTCTGTCTCATATGAATAAAGAAATAAGTCGACAAGAAGAAAACAGCTGGTTGTCATAGGTAGTCCATCGACCAAAATATTTTCAATTATTACTACGTCTTCGTAACCTTCATACACTCAGAAATAGAGTCAATGTCTTTCTTTTTCACGTTTTACTCATTGTCTCAATCCTGAATAGAATCCATTTGTATTCTAAAACTGTGTTTCAAGTTTATAGCTCCGCACGAATTTCGGTCATTTTGATGTAGTCGACGATGTTTGTGCCATTTATAACTCGGCCAGTCAAACTATGTATGAATGTGGAACTTGATGAAGTGCATATACGAGGATAAGTCTATAAATAGATTAAAGATTTAGTTGATAGGTATAGTGTAGGTAAAATAGATAATTGGGACAGACATATCTTTTGAGTATGGAGGAATTTTAAAGATTTGATCTATTGACGGATATTACTTATGTAAAAACTAACGACGCCAACCCTTTGGGTTTTTGTTTTTTTTTATTTTGGGGTAAAATCTTCACATGAGAATATATAAAAATTAAAATATGATCTAGTGTCACATTCAAAGACAGACTAAAAATTGTATTCAAGTCGGACAACAGAAAGTGGACATACAGGCCTTGCATTGCCCTATATCTGTTTACATCCTCGTCCGTTATTCTCTGGTGGATAGTTGTCTTATTGTCACTCAAGTCACATTTCTTGATCTTTCAGGTTAGCCATCAAGATACTATTGCAATCGGACGATTTGTGATGTCGACCTTTTGACTTGTGAACGTTTGACCGTTGTCTTCTTTGCTTTCTTTTACTATATTTTTGTTGTTGCTAATATGAAAGTTAAAGTAAATATCATTCCTAGCAGGCGATCTGTTAAATTATATAATATAATAGCCGGAAGATATCAAAGGGACAGTCAAAATTTATAAGTCGAGGTGAAACCGACAAAACCATGGCAAAAAACAAAAAACAACAAATAGACCAACAACAGTCTTCAAATATTACATTAAGAACTGAAGACTGAGAGACACGAAACCCACCAAAAATCGGGGTTGATTTCAGGTAAGAAAATGGTCGAAACGGAAGAAATCAGATGCTTCTTTTTTCACATTTATTAACAAATTACGAAACTTGCAAAAGGCAGATAAAATACAATGAAGTTATGTAATAAAAAAACAGATATTTAAAAATACTTTAACTGAAACATTATACTAACAAGCTATTATAAAAGATATGCATAATCATTTCCAACGTGTTTTTTCTCATTAGTTCAAAATTCAGAAATTGGTTAATCCTTCTTGACCTTAATATAAAAAATAATGTGTTTAAAAGATTTCCTCCAAATCTAGATATATCATGAAAACAAAAATGTAATTTAGCACTACACGTTGATGTTGAAGATAATAATGCTGATTGATTCAATTATGCAAAGATTCTGAATCTTTATAAACTGAAGCATCGGTATTATCAAATTAAAGTAATTTGTATTCAAACATGCATAGCTTGGTATTTGGTAGAAGTATGGTTTTCGGGTAAAATAAGAATATTCTTACTCGTTGAAGGAAAATACTATTTTCCAAAACCTAGCAGTACAGTTTTGAGTCATCCTTACATTCAGTTATAATAGGGTCACATGTTAGAAGCTATTAAACCAAGAGTTCCAAATGGTGAAGTTGAAATCATCCCTTCGTACATTTTACGGACGCCATCACGAGTTGGTTGACCGTTATGGAATAACCGTTTTACAGATGATATCGGATATGTTCCTTATGTCGTAACTACAATACCCTTCCCTTTTCACGAATGTGACCTACCGAATTAGACTATTTACCGGATTTGTAATAACATAAGCAACACGACGAGTGCCACATGAAGAGCAGGATCTGCTTACCCTTCCGGAGCACCTGAGATCACCCCCAGTTTTTGGTGGGGTTCGTGTTGCTTAGTCTTTAGTTTTCTATGTTGTGTCATCTGTACTATTATTTGTCTGTTTGTCTTTTTATTTTTGGCCATGGCGTTGTCAGTTTGTTTTCGATCTGTGAGTTTGACTGTCCCTCTGGTATCTTTCGTCCCTCTTTTAGATACAAGTTGTAATTCAAATTTTAAAGAACATGCACCTTATGCTATTGATACAGGACATTTCAGGAAAGAGAAAAGTAAAATTTTGAAATGGACAATGGGTGAAATTATAAATGCAACATTTTCTTTACCTTCAAATAGAAATACATAATAAACTTTTATAAAATGGGTTTCAGCTTAAAGATTTGTTTAAGAACCCCAAAAATAGTGCACACGTGTTTATTTGGAAAGATCAATGAATTTGAGAGTCACACAGATATTAGAAATAACAGCATATACAGGCGTGAACAAATAAGGCATAAGTACATAATGATACAAAACATATATATCTATCGGTATAATTTGAAGATCTGGCTGAAGGTTTAATTGAGATCTTATATCTGTTCTGGTCATATTTATTGAAGTTGGTCCTTCATAGCTCTGATCAAACAGCAGGCAAAAAAGATACATAAAACCTGTAAAGAGGAAATAATATAGTCAAATTAACCATAAGTAAATGTAAAATATGTTAAATGTTTCTAAAAGAGGGTAGCCACAATAATTTTACATAATTTTTTTTCTGATGTCCGTATTCTATTCATTGATATCACATTATACGTTGTAACTCACATATTACGGAACCCAATAGAAATACCTTAAGTAAACATAGATAGTGAGATTGATTTTACGTTGTGAACTTGAACTTTCCATTTCTGTGAAGCAATATTCCAGCGGCGCCTATATAGAATGATTAAGTACCAGTTGATACGATATTCCAGGCTTGCGTGATTTTTATTATAGAAGGTTGCTCCTTACAAGGAAGCAATTGAACCAAGAGGTAAAAATAATAATTCATCTCTTTGAAAGTCTTCATTGATTTGATTTATCGTTATGTTAAATCTACTATAAATATGCTCCGCGTATCATAGTCAAAACCCACCCTCTTGTCCTCGTTATTGACATCCGATACACAAGAATCAGGGACAGCTCAGCGGGGGTAACGTTATCAGTGAATAACAAGGGAGCACTTCTGGACTGATAAAATTTAACATTGTTGTATATGGAAAAAACATGACAGTTGCTTTAAAATGATTTGTCAACATTTTATTTCTACAATCATAAACTATTGCCATGGCAGGTGAAAGAGTTATTAAATTTATCTTTATTTTGATGTAAAAAAAATTTTTTTATGTTATTTAAAAGTGGTGTCCCTAATGATTTGAAAATTTCCCATAAAAAGATACGTTTTTTCCTACATAACTTAACCAAATTCAGTGATGACGAGTGTAGTAAAAAATTCCTATAAAATTCATTATTGCAGTGACATTATTTCGCCATGTCCCATGTTATTTTTGTATAATTCTTCTTTCTGAAGGTGCAAAAAAAAATATTTTAGTTTGCATTTGATGGTGTCCCTGGAAGTTTGAATATGGTGATTATTTCGTTATCAAACGTCAATTCATGTATACGTATATTGTAAAGAACTGAAACCGATATCTATACGTACCATATTGGGAAAGACGGAAAATGTTTGATATAAGATAGCGTCGAAACTTTAAAAAAAAATAATAATATTAATCATTTTTCAATTATTGTTTAAAATAAATTCATGATGACGAAAATGTTAAATTGAATTTTAGTCCCGATTAAAAATTGTTGAAATTTTAAACATTATCCGGATAATTTAGATATATAGATAGAACTTAAACACATTTTGTATGATTAGAAAATTGCTAATGAATTACAAAGAGCTTATTTGCAGTACACACCTAATGACAAAGGAAACAATGTGAATTTGAAATGCTGTACTAAAAGTTGGATGATGAATTAATTAACTTGAAATGAAAAGCATTTGTGTATTGCTATTTAAGTTTTGTAGGGTTCGGGAAAAGTTACATTAATGATTTAATTGTTTTTCTTTCTCGTAAACACTTATTATGTATAATACATATTTTATCTATTGGAAGGAAAAAGCTATGTACAAGTATCGTTTATTGTGTTCTTATCTTAACCATATTAAGCTGTGAATTTAAACAATAACCACCCGCTGTTTTATCATCTGCCAGCTATTCAATTAATGAAAGATGTAGACCGACATTCATGCTGATTTTGAATATCATTTGACAGTACTAGTTTAATGTACACTTAACGTATAACTCCGTCAACTTCTGTACTCAGGGATGTTTATACATGAACATATATAGCCCCGTCTAGCATGTCTAGTGTGCACGATAGATTTAACTAAAATTTTGAATGTTGAAATATTGGAATGATTCGTTCATTGTTGAAGACCCTACATCAACTGTCAAGATGTAGAACAGGAATAAAAGCCCTGTTCATTGATAATTTTCTATGTTTTCTATGTATTGTGTGCGATTTTGTCCCATGTACATTTACTCCATATCCTTTTATTTTCTATCCAATATGTTAATTGTGCATCTAGAACATTCAAATGTCCGATGATATAAAAAAAAAAAACTTATTCAACAGTTAAATTATAATAATAAATCCAAAAACAGTTGGGCACTCTCTTTGACATATCATTTGATATGTGCAACAGGTTTTCTGATATTTCAAAAATAATATTACTTTGCCTTTCAATATCAGTGTAATCATTTCTATCAGACCATACTTTTTCTATGAACGAAGGTAGATGTGGGGTATAAGTAAATGCAGAAGTCATGAACTTCTGGTAAATGAGATAGCAACCCAACCATGCACATAAATAACTTAGACATCTAGAGAGCAAAATATAGCCTTCTCCAAAAGACAGGCTCTTACAGGGCAACTTCAATACTCAACAATAGACATGCCTTTATAAAAATGTCAGGATCTAAATCGCCCAGATTCTATACGTTCAATGTGAATTTAAAAGGTGTTTGCTTACATCCTCGTTTTTCAGTCTCTGGTGGATTGTTTTCTAATATTGACAATAATACTACATCTTCTTATTTTTCTTAAGGTCTGTTATAAACACAAACATTCTCCAAATAACGAAAACAAATAAGATATGACATACGACAACTACTTACGAGGTCCCCAAATTTTGACAGGTACTAGTACATGTATATGGAAATGTGTTCGAGTTAAACTTACTTTTGTAGGTCTCAACCCTCCCCCTTTTGAATCTCAGTATAGATTAACAGAACGTGCATAAAAGAAAATACAAAACAGACAAGTTCTAGAAAAGAGCTTAACTCTGGTTTGTTTAAGTTTATGCCACACATCTTATTTTTGGTACGTAAATTTGCTATCCTATGCTTTTTTCACAGTTAATCGTCTAAGTTCCAATTCGCCTCCTATTAGTGTCTATATAAAAATGATCGTCCCACATGAGTGCATATTAAATATTTTTGAAAATCTATTTTGCCTTTCTGCTTACCGGGTCATGTGATTACAAAATTATTTTGGATAGACATGTATTGTTTATAGATATAAGAAGATGTGGTATGAGTGCCAATAAGACAAATTTCCATCCAAGTCAAAATTTATAAAAGTAAACCATTATAGGTCACAGTACGGTCTTCAACATGGAGCCTTGGCTCACACCGAACAGTAAGCTATAAAGGGCCGTCTAAAATTCAAAGAATCCTCATACAATGGCTGTATAAAAAGTTGTATATAGCAGACCTATAATGCTTTTTCATGAACTTTTTTAGCGATTTTGCAGGTTAATATATATGAAAACATTTGTTATCTTCATCAATATGAATTGCTTTTTAAACTTGCCTGAGGAAGACGGAAAACGATCCCGGATACACATGTGAAGAGTTTATTGAAAAATTTAGATTCACACCGCATATGTTTTCGAAATTTATGACTGAGTTTCATATGAAATTGTATTGTGTCTGGTTTTTGCATATTACTCCCATCTTTTCTTTTCAATATGGGTTTATGTTAAGAATAAACATCATTATCTAACGGTTATACAGATACAGCGAAAATTGACACGAAGTAGGCAAATATTTCCAAAAATAGGAATTATACCAACCTGTATGTATTTCACACTAGTAAAAAAAGAAGAAAAAACGTGAGATTGCCTTTAAATTTACCTCTTTAAAATTATTGTAGCCTTAAAATTGTCAAAACTTATCAAATCGACTTTCTAAAATTCACAGGTTTAGTCTTTTTTACCCAAATCTTCTGAAAAGCGTCTCAAAATCGAAAAATGGATTTTTTAAGATTAGAAAAAAAAACCACCGCTATTTTAACTAGTTGCGATTTTAGTTTTTTTAACTATGTTAGAACATAAATCAGGCCATTGTTTTTCTCTTTTAAATGATTTCTCATTTTTTCATACCGGGGCATTTTATAACATAACTTTTTATAACATGTATAACTGGGTTTACTCATTGTTGAATGACGTACAGTGTCCTATAGTAACTGTTGATAACATCCTCGTATTTTGTTCTTTCAATTGACGGAAAGTTTTCATCATACCACAACTTTTTATTTATAAGCCAATATATCCATTTGTTGAATTAAGATGATACATTTCAAATGTAGGACATAAAAGCCCCGGACACGAAGATGGTACCAGAAAAAAGTCAGGTTAGAGATAGTTTGTCTCTGATTTACAATGTGAAAAACTTATTTCATAGTAATAGTTTGTGTTTTCTTGAACATTAATAATTATAAGTATATGCAACTTGTAAACAAAATTAATTCACGGTAAAAGAATTCATAATGATCTAATGATTATTTAGAAAATAGGCTGCGAAAATTTGTTATTACTTGACTGGCTTTATGGTACCAAGAAATATATCCTTTGCATGAATAAAATTTGATAAGTCTTCATTTATCAATTCTAACGAACAATATCCCAAGCTGTATAATGAATTTATGTGATAAAAAGAAAGTACTTCAATAATTTAAGTTTCTCTAATATATTCAAACGATAGTAAACAGTTTTACTATTTCATTGTGAATTTTTGTCCTATCAATTATGTGACGGTCAGGCGTGGGACTTTGTGCCATTTACTTGCAACTCAGGACTGAAAAATTACCTTTACTTATGACCTCATAATTACCATTGTAAAGTCAATCGTTTACGGTTTCAGAGGCGTATAAAACAGATAGTAAATACCTTTTTTCAGATTGTTTTTTACATAATCAAGAAGGACAAAGAAGATTCTTTTGAAAGAAAGATTTGTAATTATGCCAAATGAAAATTAAACTATGAACTTTTTTGACATAGTTAGTCGTGAATTCTTTCTACTACAGCCCAAGTAATTGCATATTTAAATATAATTTTTCTTTCTCTTTAAAACCAAGTGTCTTGCTGATAGCAAGGATTTAAAACTATACAAATCCTTGCTGATAGTTAACATGTTAAAGGATTCCCACTGATTACAATCAATTAGCACATATATGATCATATATAGACCATCGCGACACATATCGAGAGTTGTCTTATCTTGCGAACTGGACACCAGATGAGTCAAGGAGATTAGAAACCCAGTTCAAAAGAATTATTTCTTAATTTGAGTCATCTCCCTCAAAAGTGTCCACAATTCTTGTACATGACAAAATACAATGTATCACCAAGCGGAGCATATTGGACATATATTAAACCTAACGAATGGAAAGTCACCTTACTTTCCATTAGCAAAACGACAGATTACCTAATGTAGAAGGTATTGCTTACCCGGTCCGGAGCACCTGCACTAGTCCTGAGATTTTTGGGTGGTTCGTGTTGATCGGTTTTCAGAGTTCTGTTTTTATTTGCTTCGTTTTCAAAACATTCTTACATCTGTTTGTCTAAGACTTTTTAACATTTTCTTTACTCCCGATGACACCTTACATTATCGGAAAAGCATTATCGTTAGTAAAAAGGATTTTTAGTATACCTCGTTATATTAAAAACTAGAATAGCACATAGGTCTGTCGTACGCAATTTTTCTGTCCCTATCCAACTGTCATCTTACGCCAGTAACAGTTTAAAATAAACACCTATCTATTGAAGTTCGTGTAAAAGTTGCTCTAGTTCTGTATATACCACAGAACATTTATAAAACAATAATCAATCTATCAATCTACCTCAAATTATTCGCTTTCAGTTCTGACATGGAATAATTCTAATGCGACATTTCTACTGTAGATATCCACTTCATTTATTCATTTAATCGTGTTATTGTGCTAAAACTATGTCGATAGGCAGGCAAAATCTTGGATGGCTTCATCTGTTCTATTTAGACTCTTTTGGTTTCTTTGCCCCTAAACTTGGCTTCTAAAACTTTTGGCCAAGAGCGTCGTACCTTAAGTAGGTGATTCCATACACAGGCGTTTTGCGAAGAAAATTTATATCATTTACAATTTTATCAATGACTATTGCTATTTATATCGCATTTATTCTGTATCGGAAACTATATTCGGACAAAATTTTCAATCAAACCACTATAAAGTCGCTCCGTGAACAATATAGACCCACCGACAGTATAAAACAACTAAAATCGTTCATTACCTTTTTTTACTAACTTTCATACTCCTTTAAAATTTGACCTTAGAAGATTGAAGTTGTCCCTTTTAATAAAGTCCTCACTTTTCATTAAAGATTTTGCCAATTAAGGGTCTTAAAGGTTTTTAAAGTTTTTAATATACATTATGCCAACTTAATTCTATCCATTTGACAGATGAATGAAAATGAAAATAATTAAATTTGAGTGAACTACACATACCTGAACTATGACAATAGTGATTCCAACTCCGATAACTAATGCAGCATTATCTTTAGCATAGTCATAAATAGAACTATAGCAACCCTGCAATATATAGCTATTACAATGAAATCCATAAGCAATTATTGGGAAACATTTATATTTAAAAATTCAACAGATTTAAAGACATATCTACAAATAGAATAAATAAATGTATAAATAGGGAGAGTTTCAAAATGCATACATTTTTAAGGTCTGTGTAAATGGTTGTAATCTTGGTCTGATGCAAATTCAAGGTTGTCTATTTCAAATCAATTTCAATATGTTAAGAGTACTTTGCAACTTATTCTGTTAATTAATTTGTTATTTGATTTTATCTTTTGATTTTTAATTTATAATTTTTTTAATTTTTGTTTTTGCTTGCAAATATATGCATACCTTTTCCCAGTTAGAATTCACATTAGTTGGTGTTTTTTGGCAATCTTTATCAAATTCAGCAGAAGATGGATTGTCGTAAAAAGAATCCTTGTTGGTAATTTTACAGCATGTTACAGGTATGCGTGCGGTACCACCATCACTTAAGGTCTTGTTCCACTTTGTGGCTCCATCAAAATCTGTATAGTTATTTACTCCACAGCAATCAAACTGAAATCGTATGCATGAATTAGGTTTTAGTTGGTTCTTTTATATATGGTTACTTTTTCTTTTACTTTTTATTAACTTTTTGCGCAATGTTATACGATTCTATCACGGTATTTATAATATAGTTTATCTTTTAAATGTTAAAACATGATATAAACCATTGGACTCTAAGAGGGGGATGTCACGAATTGACATTAATGTATATTCAGTGATTTAAGACTTAATGCTAAATGGTATCAATATAATTCCACCACTCTTATTGATTCAAATGCATACGAGTACGTGTTTGCTAGAAAAATTTTCATTAGATCCACTCAGACCGAAAAGATTGAAGAGCCTACGGTATACAACGTTTTTGTGTATCAAATTTAAATCGGGACTAAAAATATATTGAACTTGAGTATTTACAAGCTAATTGTAACATATAAAAAATGCCATATTGAAACACTGGTTTCTAGGTTTAACAGCTGTCTCTCGAGTCTTACTCCTCTACCGAATTCGGAAATATAGGTTCAATATTTCAGCAATCTAATCATATGTCCTTAGTATCTTGAAACAAACAAAACATATAATAATCAAAATAAAGTAAGTGTAACTACTAAGTGGTTATAATAAAGCATACCTTCACTTGAGCGAAATTGACACCAAGTGTAAATGCGTCTCCAGTATTCAGTTTACCATCATAAGAGGCATCTATTCTTTCTAACAGAATTGGTTTTAACTTTGAAGTTACCTTGAATAGATAAGATAAAGAAAGATTAATTTTATTGTATCTCAAGATTTAAAAAAGTGAAGGATACCAAGGATTAATTGAAACCATTTAAGATGAAAGAAGGCAGACAACACAATAAGTTAAAGGAAAAGAATGAAAAGACAAACAACAGTGTATAAAACATTACACATATACTAGTAACTTTGATTTAAGGCGACATGAACCTCACCAACATCAGGGGGAAGAATACTTAAATTGAAATAATTTACACACAATGAGATCGTGATATAACATTCATACAGTAATTACTGTAATATACGTCATATATCAAAATAATAAGCATGAAATTCGACAGTACAGTTTGTTGAACTAAGAGTCTGGGAGAACATGTTTTAATAAATTTTGAACTAGCTTTCAGTAACTGCCAGTACTCAGAGGTCGGAACTTTGTGGCTTTTTTATTTATGTTATTTGTTGTTTTTTTTGTTTTTTTTTTCCTTATTGACATTATCAGCTGATTTTTAAAGTTTGTTCTTATGCTCTGCTCTTACATCACTTTCCCAGGTTATGCAGAGGGTTAAGGGCATTCAAACATGTTTAACCTTGCCATATTGTGAATGTGTCTGTCCGAAGCCCGGATCCTGTAATCATTCATTGGTTGTTGTCTATCATATTTACTATAAATCAGGCCGTTGGTTTTCTCATTTGAACATTTGACATTTTTTCACATCGAAGCCTATACGGTATGGCTTTGCCAATTGTTGAAGGCCGAATTGTGATCAATAGTTGTTACATTCACGTTATTTGGGTTTGGACTGTGGTGGATAGATTTCTTATTTACAATTATACTACACCTTCCACTTTTATAAAGAAGACATTTTAGTACATTTTGATATCATTTGTATACATGCAAAATTAACTTACATCGGACGTGAAGACTATTGCAATTATCGCAGCTGTCAGTTCTATTATCAGTATGATGATGATAATACCAGCATACTAAAATAAAGGAAATTATCATGACAAAGAATGCTACATGTGAATTATTGTGATACTGTTAACATTGACAGTTTAAGTTTGTGAAAGATTTAAATGAAATTGCATATGGAAAGAAACAAAAACATTGGAGGGAGGTCCAGTACCATCAGCTATCTGCGGAAATAAGAATATTTGTTTCAATATATTGATGTAATCCCAAATTTCTGTTAAATATTGATTTAATCTCAATGTTCTTCTAAGTTTTTATTCATTTATGAGATTATGTATTTGAAATCTGCTGAATACACACAATAATTTGGCTGTACCTTATTACAAACGGGATAGCACAAAATCATTATAACTTTTACGGCGATGTTATTTACCTAGCCCGTAAATTTAGATACGATTTGGGTAAAATTATCCATCCTTTAAATAAACTTATTCTAAAAGTTTACCAATTCAACACTGTAATAAGATCTTTGAATTTTGTTTTTATCGGTATAAATATTGATTTTGTTGTTAGTAAATTAAAACCAAAATTAAATGTCATTATATAAGTACATTCACGGTTCTGTCGATATCGATATTTTGCCATTGCATAAGGTCATGTTTTTCTCTGACTGTTAATGACGTCTTTACACGAAATCCATATGATGTTGGATGTGTACTGATTGATATATTAGTCTTAGACACATGATTTTTTATGAGTTGTTATTGGCTTTCAACTGGCTTTCAATTAACTGCGAGTACTCTCAGATCTGTACTTTGTGTCTTCTGTGTTTGTGTTAGGGTTTTGATGTGTTTTTATCGATCTGCTGAGTTAAGCCCATTTCAACTAATTTTTATAGTTTGTTCTTATGTCGTACTTTTAAACTACTGTCCCAGGTTAGGGGAGGGTTCGTCGCCATGAAAACATGTTTAACCCCGTCACATGCTCTATCTGCCTGTCCCAAGTCAGGAGCATGTAATTCTGTTGTTGTCGTTTGTTACTGTATATCATATTTGTTCCTCGTTTGAATTGTTTTACATTAGTTATTTAGGGGGATTTGCTCATTGTTGAAGGCCGTACGATGACCTATAGTTGTTAACTTTTATGTTATTTGATGTCTGGTGGAAAGTTGTCTCATTGGGATCAAACGACATCTTCTGATTTTTATAATCAATATAAAAACTTAAGATAAAACCGCTACGTAAATGTATGGTAAAACAAATTAAATCACAAGTTGCTGAATAAATGGAACGAAGTTGACTTGTTATGTGGATAAATCTTATATGAAAATCTTACTATTTGAAGCATTAATTTGTGCATTTTCCAAGCACCACAACATCCTAAAAATCCTACAATTAAAGCAAAAACTCCTCCAACTATCAGCACAACGGCGCCTGTTCTCAATAATGACGTCACATCGTAGTTCTCCGCATCGCCAAATTGAGTTAGTACTTCTAAAGCACTGTTCTTTACTATTGCAGTTATACCTAATGCTACAGCTAGAATTCCCAAAAACTGAAAATAGAAGTGTCTAATTATTCATTACAGCACACACACACACACACACACAAGGATTCTGGAAAAAAGAACTAAATGTGCTTCATCCAAATGGCATCAACATAAAGAAGTTGCAGTTTTCGTTTCTGAATGTGTCCATCAGTTATGGTTTTTCTTTAGATACATTTACCTGCACTACTATCTTTTGAGATCGTGGGATGTATAAATACGTAGCCACGTCAACATAAATTTGGCCCAACCTCTTAATTCATTGGTCAAAATTTATCTTGATGGCAAAATTTTCCCACACGTGTATAATCAGCAATGATGCCAAAAAAAATTTGTCAACAGCATTTTGTGTCGCTGGATAACTTTAAACTTGATAGATACAAATATGTTTATTGGAAAATGGTTAAGGGATATTCTATAGACTATCACAACTCATAAAGCAATTTGAAAAAAATAGTCCAAATGAATCATTTAGCATTTGGTTTTTTTTTTTCTTAAATTGAGCTAAGAGGTGTCAAATTTGATATAATTTTTTATATGAAGCCAACTTACTATTGCTGGATAGTCTAATTTGCTAAATACACCATAGATAAGACACATGTACTTTCGTGTACTGACTGGAAAACTAAATGGATTACGTTATCTTTCTTTTTTAATTTTAAATACGTAGTACACAGTTTTATGACCAATTTGATCAACAATTACTTACAAAGAATATAAAATTAACAACAAATAAGATAATCTTCACTATACTAGCTCCACATCCAATCGCCATCTTGTTGTTTCACCTGAAAAAAAAAAGAAGTTAACATCATTTTAAATATAAATTTAAATCCAAGTTGAAATGATAAGATACTATGTGAGAAAGTACAATTATAGTGAATGACTCGATCCGAATATTATTTTTCACATTGATGTACTGATATGGAAATAATATTTATTAGCATTTAGGGAATACATCAATCAATTGGAGCATGAAAACATATGTCATTGAATAGCGAAACGTTGTAGGCGTAATATTGTTGAGTGGGTGGTTGATTAAATGTTAATGAATAGACCTATATGATATCGAATCTGTTTGCATTTACCCCATATGAGAAACAGGAAAACATGATGAAGTTATTTACAACCATTTCAAAGTTTACCCTCATACTTAGATAAGATAAGATAAGATATTTTATTTCCAATTATGGGCCCCAAAGGGCATAAACATTACAACATCAATAATTTTTTCATAATACAATACAAACAATGAGATAAAAAAAAAAAAAGTTAAACGAGAACTATTTAAGTTCTTAAAGAATACGTAGATAAAGAATCTATAGTATGTTGTTTTTTTTAATACTAATGCATTTTATTGCAAGTGTGGTTGATATAGATAACAAACAAGCAGCCCAAAAAGAAAAAAAGAAAAATAGATATCCACATATGTATAGTACACAAAAAGTTGGATCAATTAAATATATAATAATTAGCCAAAAAGAAAGTAGAAATTAAACATGTCCATGACTCATCCTGTGTCAGCAGCAAATAGGAAAGCATTATGGTTTCCTAAAGGCAGCTGACACCAGGGGGCGATACCTTATGGGCCATAGGCATGTAAAATGTGTGTAAATGTCTCTTTCCTACCTGTATCAAAAGCAAACAAGGAAGCATCATAGGTAACTTGAATGCAGTTGATACCAGGGGACGATGCCTCAAGGATATAAGAGAACATTTGAATAAATAATATATCTTAACAATTATTTTTTTTTAATCGGCTAGTATGTTTGTGATATTCAGATGAATATAATTTTCTATGTCCAATCAAATGTATATACACACATAGATTTCCTTTAACTAATCTTCACTAAGGAAGATGTTTGTATATAAAATTACATATTATTTTAAGTAACTCAACATTTTCTACACTAAATAACCAGATAATTTTGCTTTGACTGTTCATATGATTAAAATAAGAATTATATTGTGCAATACTAGCTAACATACAATTTCTATCATCCTCAAATTTGTTACAATCAAATAGAAAATGAGCCTCATCTTCGACAGTATTGGAAGAACATTTATTACATATTCTGTTAATTCGGGGAATACCCTGATATCTACCTAATTCTATTTGTAATCTATGAGAAGATACACGTAATTTAGTAAAACTTCTTCTAAGTTCAAAATTCTTGATCAATGTTAGATATTTTTCAAAACCAAAATTTGTTTTATATAAAAGGTAGGTTTTCAGTTTACTGTCTGAAAATTTATCTATTTGTTTTTTCCAACAGCTAATAAACAATATTGATAGCTTGGTTTGTATATATTTCTTAAATTTGTATAAGGATTCACAAAATGGAGCATTTATGGCATTTGTATAGTCAATACCAAGTATTTTAAAAACAACATTTATTGAACCATACCATGATGTTATATTCATGTGATGTAGTGTCTTTGATTGTGTATATGCCTCTTTTAATAGAGGAAAATTATGACCTAAATTCTCTAATCTATACCAGTACAATAACATTCCTTTTATAATATTAAAATATATTGGAAATCTTCCAAGTTCAGATAACACTGCAGCAATACTTAGAATATAATTGAAAGTAAATGCCCTGTCTTTGTCGTTACAATGAGAATATTAATAAGATAAAATTATTGGTTGATCGCTGGCAGTTAAAGTTCAATGGTATATTCCATGCATGTTCAGGACGAGAACAAATACTGCAATAAGTAGGACCTGTAAATGCGATCAATCGGGATGACGGATGGGAAATTTGAACATGCATAAAAAATTATGATAAATTGGATTGGGACTGAAATTTAGCCTTGCAACAGGCCACCTATGGACCCTCAAAGACTTGTTGCAAGGGTTCTTAACGTGCAGAAAGCGTGTCACTCGCTCTACATGAAGCATCGGGTCTAACGTCACCATTCTGGCCGGGTGTGGCTTCGAATTTATACATACCGCACAACCAAAACGGACGCCCTACATTTGCAAGGGGTTTACTGCCGGTCGAAAACAGACCAAGTGACCATATTTCTATAAAATGAATATAATTTAAAAAAAAAAACTATTGCATGAAATGTCCAGCTTCTATCAAGTTTTATTCATTGACTGAAACAGTTGTTTGCTTAGCAATCGAAAGGGGGGATATCGGGAGCTGGGATATTCAAGATTAGCTTAAACCAATATGTGTACAGTTCAAGAATAAACACAACAAACAAACACAAAACAAAACATAAAAAAAAACAATACGAAAGGCAATTAATAACAAATGAATGCAATGCCAACCTTTGTATGTCTTGAATTTTTCTAATCTTACAAATTTATTTCGTTAAAATTAAGAATATATAAATGCAACAACAAAAACAAAACAAGCAAAACAAAAACAAACAATAACATTTACGTCTGGTGAGATGTCAAGCGTATTGTACAGAAACATATTGTTAACGGGTTCATTATTCATTATTGAATTTGGAAAAATTAACAATGCACCTACTTCAGTGCGGTCTAATAATGATGAGTGTAATGTTAAGCTCAACCAATATTTACTATGCTTAATCAATTAGTGAAATTACCGTTAGAACAATTGGACGGAGTGTTCCCATCTTTATTAATATGTATGAATCATTCAAACGAAAATCTGATTTTGAAAAAAAAAAAAAAATATCGAAACTTGTTTTCGACTAGCTCAGAAACCCGGAGTTTAACGGTTAGGACAAGTCCAAGGCATACTTTTTGCGTTGCAACAGGCCGCCTACGGACTATTAAAAGTTGTTGCAAGAGTTCTTTAAATTGCAGAGAGGGTGTGACTTTTCGAACGGATTTAGGTGGAACGGTAGTATTTACTTTCCGGGAACAAGGTTTCTCTTTTGTATACCTTACTTAGCAATGCATCTGAACACTGTTATTGGACAAAAAATACAGCATCTACTGAACATTTTTTCCCAAGCTGAGGGATGAATCAAGTGTAGAAAAATATGAAATAATTTTACACACAGGTGAAAATGATTATTTGAGATTGTTTTTTAAATTTTGTATTCTCTGCATGATAAAAGGCCTCAATGCACTGGTGGTCTTATAGAGGTTTATAAAGATTGCAGAGAAAGTAAACAGTCATCATACATATTCACATTTATTTCTGAAGTTCACATTTATTTCTGAATATTATAATGAAAGTACTTCAGTTAACTGTGTATGTAGGTTATTGGGCAGTATTAGAAAGTGGTGAACATTATACGACTCTTGGATAGATTTAAAGACACAAAACACTTGTCTTGGTCAGTTTATTTTCGACTTATGAGTTTGAATGTCTCTTTGGTATTTTTCGACTCTCTCTTTCTCTCTCTTGTTTATTACTGAAAACCTCTAGATGTTGTTGGCTTATGATATATTGCTGAATTGCAATCTCTTTTAAGCACGAATCCAAATACATTGTATGTACTTTTCGTCGTAAATAATATATTTACTACGGTTTATCATTTGTCATGTTCCGGATATTGACAGGCGAAGCACTTCCGATTTATAGTATACATGTAGTATAGAAATAGTTGGCAAGGATATAGAAAACTATGTTCAATCATGTGTAAACATGAATAACAACATCTTATGAGAAAAGCAATAAATCAGTATCAAAACTTTGACAGTTAAAAGAATAAAAATATGCTCCACTGAATACACAACATATTCAAAATACTATATAGTTTATATATTCTGGAATTGTCCTACTAGTACATATAGAATATACCTTCTGTATTTTTCCTCAACAAATACAAATAATTTTACCTATTAACCCTCAACGACCCAAAGGACCTTTCTTTAAAAAAAATACGCCTTGGTTTCATAAATTTCTCATTTTGAATATGTTTAATATTTTACAAAGAGATGTCACTCAAGGCCATGCATAATAATAGTATGTTAGTTATCCTAAGGGCTATATCAAGTATGTCAAATATCTTACTATCATTACAACCTTCAAAGTAAGATAACAATGTTTGTTCGTAGATGTGTACATCTTTAAAAATACATAACACATAAAAAGTTTTTTTTATGTTGTAAATGAAAAACAAAATATATGTATATTACTATGTTTGTAGATGATTTAGATACTAGTATGCAACAAGAACATACCAACGCTCATATCGTTGATATACATGAGAATGAACATGCAGTTGAATACTATAACTAAATATGAGAAAGATCCTGAGTTTTTGTACTACTAGTATTATTCTTAAATAAATCTTTTAACATATTATCTATGAATAAATATAATATACAGAACCTCTCTCTTTGTGTATAATTATTATTTGGTACAAAGTTTTGCTCTTTCTTCTCGTTTTGTTTGTTGACATAGTGCTTTAATTTCTTCCATGACTTTTAATGAAAGGGTCTTCCATCGTCGTCAAAAGGTATGCCAAAAAGAAAAACATTATAAAACAAAATCATGTTATACGCAGTTTTACTTTGAACATGTTTATATTCAAGGACATTCACGATGCCCGATAAATAAAAGGTTGCCAATTTTTCGAGTAAGAAGCTCAAAAAGTTAGCAAAATTCTTTCCCGCCGTTTTTCATAAAAAAAAAGAAAAATTTTCCCGTATCTAGTTAGTAAATAATAACTTACGTTGTTTTACTATATATCGTATATGTTTATCTTCCAGTGGTTGTGTTTCGAATGATTGACAGTTATTTTACCTTATATGACCATGTGTCATTTTTATATGTGTTCACTCTCCGATGAACCTATGAACTTCCAAGAATGTAAGTTGTGACGCCTTTGCGTAATTTACATTATCGTTAAAATGGTTATGTCGAAGTCATAAGAGTGTGGTAAAAAGTAAGTGAATGGTACAGTGATTATGATACGTTTTCTAACTTGTGAATGAACAGAAATCTTCTATACTCTATCCAAATTTAAGTTCTTTCTCGAACATATATTGAAAATATAAAGGTCAAAATGAAACATGCCTGATAATAAAACTAATGCGTAAATCATGCACTAAGGAAACAGATGATATAACTGTACAATAAGAAAAGCATCTATAAGTAATACATAAATATTTTCATTTAAACAAGTCTTACATACCTCGTATGTCCTGTGAAAAATGACAAATTGTGTTCATGGGAAACGTCGAGCAGGCATGTAAATATGTAATATATTTTGAATAGACAGAATAATAGCAAATTGATTACAAGATAAATTTCTACAGTATATTAGATATAGATATTGACTTTTTGCGGAATGAACAGTCATATGGAAGTCTATGTGGGAATTTCATCTATGCATAAATGGATTTATCTGATTAGTATATCGTAATAAGGGATCTGACAAACACTGCGTAAAATGACAATGAATGTAGCCAAGTCATATTTAAGTTTCAAGTGGGACACTTTGAATTTTCATTTCTTTATAAAATAAAGTTTACATTAAAAAAATATTTCGCATTTCTGTCAAGTGTATTTAGTATGACATTAGGAAATCAGTAAACAATGAAGGGATGAAATAGACCTTTATTACACGGGAACTTTTGAACTTGTTTCCATTTTTCCTTTAAAACAAAAAAAAACAATGGACATAAAAAACATATCGTTTCAGCGTTTAATTCATTTTATCCTGCAATCAGCTAACTATTGTACAAATAACAGGTAAACAAATAATTTTTTACATTATCTGTACTTGTACAAATAAAGTCTCCTGTTACCCCGCTTCCATGTTGAGCAAGCGGTAATGTGGATATTTCTTTTTGCGTACAAGTTCATTTTGGGGTCCTCTTCGCGGTCCGCGTTTAAACTATGTCGATTTCTTTGAAAACTTAGAGACAATGATTTATATTTTTACAATTAAAGTTTCAAGTGTTGGGTGTAAATTTCAGGATAAAAACAATATATGTACATTGTCGGAAAATATAAAATTTATTTGTACTCGCTACGAAACAGGAGAAAAGCTCGGCGAGCCTCGCTTTTCGTCCTGTTTCTAAAGCTCATACGAATAAATCTTATATTTTCCGACAATGTGCATATATTGTATATGTCTGCGTCCATGAATCACATTGTTATGTCTCTAACGTTACATTCATGTGAAATCAGTTTAGCACATCTGTACATATGATAAACATACGACAGTTTGCACCTTTCTCTTGTAATAGCAGTAAATCCTTATGTGTGATGATCTATCTCAGGAAGTCTACACTGAATATGTCTTTGAGGTAAAAGCACATGTAAAATTAATGAAACCTAACTAAATCCAATTGATGTTGTGACTTATTTTAACATTAAATTATGTATGCAATGAATCAAATGTTATACATGAAAGAGATAGATAAAATTCACTTGCATTTGATAAACAACCGGTCATTTTCAAAACTTATTTCAATCTGTATTAAAATTCTTAATACAAGAGCTTCATGCATGTATTTCGAGTTTCCCACAATGATATACAGTGTAGCTTGAGAAGGGCATTTTTGACCGTGCACACACCAAAAAAAAAAAAATAATAAAAATACTCAAAAGTGAGCTTCTACAAAATCTACATAATTCGCGTATATTAGATATTTTGATATACGCTTTGGGTAATGCAAGTGGTTAATACTCTGTAGTGTGTATTGTTGTTTGCTTGACTTCCAGTGAGAGGTGTACTCAGGCATAGCAATTAAATAACTAATCAGGTCGGTATGTTCTGCAGTGAAACTGGGTCGGCCGAAATATTGGGCGGGGAAATTTGGATTGCACAAAGTTTTTATGTTGGCCAGGGTAAGCCATTTCGACCTTAAATAGACCCCCCTGGTGACCCATCAATGGATGTGACTGCGTATTAATATACACAACAATGACAAATGCCACCCTGCCCCTCTTCAACAGGCGTCGTATTGTCGTACGGGAGACGTCCAATTACCATATTCTCTATCACAATTAACCCCTGAGGTGTCTATCTGTATAGACTGTATAGTTGATATGAACAAAAGGAAACGAGGGTATCAAGTAAATGAGAATAATCAGACAACAAAAATGACCAAATAACAAAAGACAAAGATACTACTTTCTGATATTATCGACTAAAGGAGAACTTTGATAAGTCCTAATATATTTCAAAGTATGCCGTAGGTATATGAGAGTCTTTACACCAATTCCTCAAAGCGTTACAAACCGTGCGTTTGGCTGTCATGGATGTATAAATACTCAGTTACGTCAAATTGGGAAGGTCACTGACTCCATGTCAGTTTCACAAGTAAGATGAACTGAAATGGCCGTAAAACATGCAAAGTGTCTGAACTGAAATATTACTTATGACATAAAATCACCAATTAATTCAATGTTAATCGTTTAAAGATTTCCCTCGAGATTGCATTTTGGTCATTGTATATGGTGCTCAGCAAGTTCCAAAAACAAAAGCGGTCAGACGTCATAAGCAATCTTGTACTTATGAATATATTCCACGGAAAGTAAATGAAATGTTTATTAAATAAGCTGCACCACCTTGTATATCAGGCAATGCATGCCACAAGTCTTACAAAATTACAAAAGCTTATCAGCAAAGATAGACACAAATTTAAAAGGCTGTATGTTTTATACAAATCTAATATATAGGCATCTTAATATCACAAAATATCTTTATTTTGTCACCTATCCGGCAGTAGAAACCATAATAAAGAGTGGCGTCCGTGACTGATTCAATGTAAACTAATAAATATAAGTAGAAATAAAACATAACTTTACACTAAATATTATCCGTTACATAGTGTGCTTGTGACCTACCTATCATATTCAGATGACATGAAATTAAATAAAAAATAACAGAACTGTCATTCAAGACCGAATAATTTATGCCAGAAAAATCATTAAGAAAGTGGAGATATTAAAATTATTCGACCAAATCTATGTTAAATTGTTCAAGCACACAGTTAAGTTGAAAAACAGTTTGCCTGTGAAACTCAGCTTTTACATGCAATCGGACAAATGAATTTTACACTCGATGAAACAATTCAGTGCATCTTACATGAAATAGAAGACATATCTAACTACCATATTCAGTTACAAAACTTACCGTCGTTAGCAAGTCGAAAGAGTGTCGCAATAAGGATGCATTCGTGTAGAAAGCAGCACAACCGCTTATACTTTTTTCACAATTGTTATGTCGGGGCATTCAATTGCTTACAACTGTATCAGTTTTGCTCATTGTTGAATGAATATTATAATTGCTTTCATCCACATCATTTCAACTCTAGTGGATATTTATCTCGTTGGTAATCATACCACATCTTCTTATTTCTATATAAGCTCTGAAGAGCTTTTAAACCGACAGCAAAAAAGGAGATCAAACAATACAAACATATAAATGCAAATATAAAACACAAAAGTTCATTCAAGCTGTTTAAACACATATATCGAAGCATGTGCATATGAGAAAAGCTAAGACTAATTAATGATTTTACATTTACATATAGGTTCCAGGCAAAGGCAATGGGGCTTGCAACATGATAACAAAACGCAAAGAGTTTAGTTAAATAACAATAATAAGCAAACAATTGCAAATTTTCTATTAGTGAAATTTGTCATGCTGAAACAAAGCATAAAACTAAGCCGTGAATTGGTCTTGAAAATGAAACGAGAATTAACTGTTTTTAGGCAAACATTGGCTTGACTGATTGCCATGAGATGGCATACAAAAGAATGTATTACGTTTTTCAATTGATTTAACGATGATTGTTTACAAATCTCATCTGGCAGCTCATTCCAAACTTTAGCACCCGTATACCTTACTTGTAAGTCATATGATGTTGATCTGACTTGTGCCGGAAGTTCTGTTGTATTCTGGTACGTAAAAGAATAAGAGTTTTCCTTAATGTGGATTTAATGATGCATGTAGATAAATGATTCTTATAAGTTTATTAATAATTTTGAAAATTTCAATAGCCAGTTATCTCGATACTCTTCTATTTTTTACAGATTATATTCTTAATAGATAAATCTAACAGAACTCTCTTGACTTTTTCCAATCTTTTTTTTTTATTTACCTACCAAAAAGTTTCCAAATAGTGGGCAGTAATCAGTAAAGTTGGAAATTATAAAAGAATAGTATATTGTTAATTTTCCAACTTAAAATAATATGTTTTTTTTTTCCATTCTTTTTAGACAATAGTATAGTTAAACAGAACCATTGTATTATATGAGGGGTGGACAAGGGGTCAATGATTCCCACTTCTCTATCCCTCAACTCCCACTTCCATCCCCTTATATACTTCCAATTCCTTCACCTACTCCAACTTCACTACCCCTTACTCAAATAAAAATATCGGTGCTTTTTTCCCCGGAATATCCCTATTTTTAATCCCTCTCTTCCCCCGGTTCCTGCTTCCCGCCCCCTCATTCAAATCATCCCTTACCCCTGTCCACCCCCTCTTATCTGTCTTTGATTTAACTGTTTGGACACCTTGTTACATATATCATATAGAGACATGTTAATTGGACATTTAGTTCAAAAGTTTATAGTTGCTCCTAGAAGTTTTACATCATTTCCACATTCTTTTTCAATACCTTCTAAATTGAATTTCAGATTTTTGTCTTTAGTTCAGCGATCACTTCGAATTTTTCAGGATTTAGCTTCATTTTATCTATTTCATTTTCTAGAGAACCTATTTTAACATGAAAATGATAATAATAGTGACTTTATTTAAAGAGGGTGACTCAATTAGCACCAGTCACTAATCTACCTTGAGGCCCCCACAAAAAACATACAGAACAAGTACATTTTGTGTATTTCAAATATTACAATTTTTCAACATGTAATTAAACTCACGCTAAATGAATGTCTGTAGAACAAGAAAAACAAAATAATACATTATACACAAACATTAAAAAGACATGATAGAGTTAGAGAGTTGTTACATATCATTTATAGTTAAAAAATCTACACATTTTCTTTTTAAAGTACCAAAATTTCACATAGTTTTATTTCATTTTGGTAGTATTTTTTTGTATTGTCATGTTCCACAAGATCCAAGTCTGATGGCATAATTGTACTGACCTTGTCCCGCCCGACTTGTATTATACTGTATTATTGAACTACAGTTGTTTTGTATGATCTTATCAGAACCATATGTGATTTGTTTCTCAACTGAGACTGGGAGTCTGGGACTATTATACTAAAAATAGTATAATAGATACATAGTCCAAGACTGAGATAGGAAATGTTTTATTGTCAAAACTACTGCTTCTATATCATCGTATGAAAGGCTGTTATTGTTTGTTTTTAGAGTACATTTTATAAAAATAAAGTCGAAATTGTCTAAGAAGATTAAACAAGAGTGGGACAATGTTCCAGGTTAATTTCCCAACGTAAATTTTCCAAGATTTCCCGCCAAAACGTCAAATAACAAATTCCGAATGGAAAGGAAGTTACGTAACAATAGAATCGATTCGGCGTACTCAAACTTCCTGTTGTAAACAAACCTGCACACGACGAAATCTAGATTTCTTCTGTAACAACATGCATAAGTCGGTCCAGATTCTTCTATTGTGTCAGCGAGCACTTGCATCAAAAACGTTTGGGATAAATATAAGGTAAAGTTTGTACTTTCAAGTCATGAACAAGTTCTCAAACAATCCAAAGGCGCAGTAAAAAAGATCATTTCCAGCTGGACTTTGACCCATGAAAAAAGGGGGACCCAAATATTTATGTAATCTCACTGCTTTATCCACGGAATTGATAAAGTAGTTGACAGGATTTCAACACATCATTGCATATATGCTGGTATTAAAGGCTATTTTTTTTCTACAGTGATATGAGACAGGTGTTACATGAGAAGACAACATTCATACAATTGACTATTTTATCAGGAAAATATTTATTATATAAATTTTTATTATGAAAAATATGGCTGTGTGTATAACACAAAATTTGCTCTAAGTGCATGTTAAAAAGTTTTAAGACATGACTGGACCTAGAATAATAAAATTTAAATGCAGTTTATGTTTCAGAAATTCAAAAACAACTTTCCAGGATATTGGTGTGCAATGCATTACATTTTCTGTTTTTACAGAAGGTTGTAAAATCAGAGACATATAATGCAAGATTGGAAACTAGTTCAAATCTTGTGATATCACATGGGCCACGTGGTTTTATTGATAATGTTGACCTCAAGTTTAAATTATCTTTTCTCAAAATCTCAAAAAAAATGTTTATATAATACTTTCAATACCCTATTAAGAAATCAAGTTGATTTCCATGTTTTATAACATCATAATTGTATTATTAAAACAGAAAAGAAGTATGAATCACGACCTCATTGAATTTTTAATATCTCATAGTCAATATCAACTTTCATTGTTCTTTAAACCTCAGTTTATTAAACAGATACATTTTAAACCATATCTAGCAAAATTCTAAAGATGAGTAAAAATTAAAGAGGAAGAAATATGTAAGAAGTATGTGAAAAAGAGAAGTTTTGAAAATAAAAGCCATATGATATGTCAATAGATTATATATGTATATGTATGGTCATTAAATGGAGTTCATGTACATATTTATTATTATGTAAAAACCTACAAAGTTGCTATATATATATTTAGTAAAGAAGTCCCCTGGTGTTGTAATTGTATTGAACTGTTACAGTATTGATTGAAATGGACAAAAGAGTGACAGTAGATATCTGAACAATTATTGTCAATCTATTTAAAGTATCAATGAATGGACTATAATCAGGTGAAAAACTTTTTTTATGCTCCCACTGTAGCAGAGGGGGCATTAAGTTTTACCCTTGTCCGTACGTCCCAAAGTTGGTTTCCGTTCTCTAACTTTAGTTTACCTCAACCAAATGTTATGAAACTTATACACAATGCTTATTACCACAAAACACAGATCAAGTTTGAATTTTGGTGGCATCACTTTAACCGCTCTAGAGTTATGCCCTTTACAAATGGAAAAATTGTTGAATTTTTCGTTTCCGTTCTCTAACTTTAGTTTGCCTCAACGAAATGTTATGAAACTTATACACAATGCTTATTACCACAAAACACAGATCAAGTTTGAATTTTGGTGGTGTCACTTTTACTGTACATGTTCTAGAGTTATGCCCCTTTACAAATGGAAAAATTGGTGAATTATTCGTTTCCGTTCTCTAACTTAAGTTTGCCTCAATCTAATGTTATGAAACTTATACACAATACTTATTACCACAAAACTCAGATCAAGTACAAATTTGGGTAGTGTCACTTTTACCGTTGTCAGTTATGTCTCTTTATAACTTTATATGATATGCAAGCGGGGGCATCATGTGTGTCCCATGGACACATTCCCCATTTATTTTTAAATCATTTTCAGGCGTGAACAAAAGTGAATATTAGTCTAGGTCCAGCCATGTTTTAAATAATTTTTAGGTGCCCAGGTTTGTTTGTTTGCATTTTTAAGTGAGGACTATGCACAATTTGATACCTATTTGGCCCTGTAAATTGGCTAAAAATTCAATGATTGGATAATATATTTATTGGTTACTTTTTTTAACCTACTTTATGTAGGTTCATGATTATGAAATTTTTTTAAAATAACAATATTTAATTGTTATTTCATTGAAATGAACTCATAATGGGGATTAACAAACAGTTCCTAATTATTGCAAAAAATAGGCTCAAGATAAGATATGATAAATACACTTTTTTTAACTCTAAATTCAAAAAGTATTATTAAAATTACATCCTCCTGAGGTTCATAAGACATCAGTCTGTTGGACATCACTGATTAATATTTATATTTTTTTGAATTTTGTCTTTCATATTAGATTTTCCAACTGTTTTGCAACTAAATAGTTAAAGCAATATATGATTTAGTTTGTCTAGACAGTATTAAAATTTTTGTTAGAATATTCCAGTAGGCAAATGATAAGGAACACAATATTAAAGCAAAAAAAAAATATCAACAAACCAACAATGTTAATCTTGCATTTGTAGTACACAAAAATGTGCACACAGGTGTGAATCATGTTTGTGTGCAGCTGTTCATGTGTTATAGCTAGATTCTTTGCCCTTGATCCACCAGGGCTTTCCTAATATTGTCAATTCAATTAAAAAAAATAATTATAAGGATCAATTATTATGTTTAATTTACGAATTAGTGACCCATCCGATGGCAATAAGCTTATAACTTATAACACCTGCTGTTAATGTTAATTAGCTGAGGGTCATAAACTTGTCAGAAACATGAAGACCAGTAGAATTATGGTATGTTCATCAAAATATTACGACAATAAAGGCATGGACATGCCAAAAAGGGCAGGGCGGCAGTCGGGAAAGGGTGGGTGGACTGCCCTGTGGAAACGATCAAGCTGGAACACTGAATTGTCTGGAATGTCTCAAGCTTTGTATGCTTTAATTTCAAAAACAAAAGAGGTTAAAACAGGATGAAATAAAAATGTTTGAATGGCTAATTTTTTATACGACCGCAAAAAAATTTTTGTGGTCGTATATTGGTATGATGTTGGCGTCGTCGTCCGAAGACACATTAGTTTTCGCACTCTAACTTTAGTTTAAGTGAATGGATCTCAATGAAATTTTACCATAAGGTTCAATACCACAAAAGGAAGGTGGGGATTGCTTTTGGGGGTTATGGTACCTACAGCCAAAAAGGGGCCAAAAATAAGCATTTTTGTAACTTCCAGACATAACTTCTGTGTAAGTGTATGGATCTCTCTGACATTGTACCACAAGGTTCCATATCACAAAGGGAATGCTGGGATTGATTTTGGGGGTAATTGCCTCCAAATTTTAGGAATTAGGGGCCAAAAAGGGGCAAAAAACAAGCATTTTTCTAGTTTCATGACAATAACTTGTGTGTAAGTGTATGGATCTCTCTGACATTGTATCACAAGGTTCCATATCACAAAGGGAATGCTGGGATTGATTTTGGGGGTAATTGCCTCCAAATTTTAGGAATTAGGGGCCAAAAAGGGGCAAAAAACAAGCATTTTTCTAGTTTCATGACAATAACTTGTGTGTAAGTGTATTGATCTTTATGAAATTGTACTACAAGGTTCCATATCACAAAGGGAAAGCTGGAATTGAGTTTGGGGGTAATTGCCCAAAAAGTTTAGGAATAAGGGGCCAAAAATAAGCATTTTTCTAGTTTCCAGACAATAACTTGTGTTCAAATGTATGGATCTCTCTGAAATTGTACTGCAAGGTATCATACCACAAAGGGAAGGCTGGGTTTGAGTTTGGGGGTAATTCCCTCAAAATTTTAGTAATGAGGGGCCATAAAAGGGCAAAAAAAAACAAGCATTTTTCTAGTTTCAGGACAATAACTTGTGTGTAAGTGTATGGATCTTTATGAAATTGTACTGCAAGGTTCCATATCACAAAGGGAAAGCTGGGTTTGAGTTTGGGGGTATTTGCCCTAAACGTTTAGGAATTTGGGGCCAAAAAGGGGCCAAAAAACAAGCATTTTTTCTAGTTACCAGACAATAACTTGTGTTCAAGTGTATGGATCTCTCTGAAATTGTACTGCAAGGTACCATACCACAAAGGGAAATCTGGGATTGAGTTTGGGTGTGATGAATCATAAGGGGGTTCAAAAAATTGGGGGGGATTTTTTTTTCATTTTTTTTCTTTAAAATTTTCCATTTTAAATTGGTTATTTCTGATTTATATATAAAAGCAAATAATAATGATATGGTTTGAATAGATAAATTAAAAAATTTTAAGTTCTTAGACCACTTTCATTCTGTGTGAGAAACCTATGCTGTGTCAAATATTTAATTACAATCCAAATTCAGTGCTGTATCAAGCTTGAATGTTGTGTCCATACTTGCCCAAACTGTTCAGGGTTCGACCTCTGCGGTCGTATCAAGCTGCGCCCCAGCGGAGCATTTTATTTTATTGGAAACCCTAATTACATGTACAGCATACATGTATCTCAAAATGTAAAAATGACAACATACATGAAACTGAATCAACTCTCCTTTAAAGTAGTACATTTGTATCTTGATCCATGCAGATTTATCTTGTTGAATAGTTCAATACTAGACCTCTTATATTTGGCTAGGTGAATTACAACAGCTTTTATAGTTGTACAAATTAAATCCAATTAAGATACAATTGTAAATTGGTAACATGATTTGCATGTATAAGAATATCAACAAAATGTATTTTGTATATCTCATTGATAATCACAAAGTAACATGGAAGAAGAATAATCTAAGTTTTTTTTGTTACAGCCCAAGGTTGTCATCACTAATATCCAGATATAGAAGTACAGCAACAGCCACAGTAGAAGACAATGTCACTACTGCTCAAACTGAAGTTAAGAAGAAAGCAGAAATCAAACCTAAGGTACAGTGTGAAGTCACTTATTAAGTTACAATGTATTTCACACTAAAATGAATTATCAGCTGTGTACCTCAAGTACCATGCATACTGTTTTTGTCTGTAATTAAATTGCCAAAAATTTTTTAAAAGTGACACCATGACATCATCTTATGTTAATATTGTCAAGTAGACAATCAACAGATTTAGAATTAAAGTGTGTGATTAGATTTTGTGAGGTAATTATACCCCACAGAACAACTACTGCAACAGTTTGTCAATGCAACTCCTCTGAATTCACACAACAGAATTTCAAGAAACTTTTTAGGTGATAAGAACAGACTATTTAGATGTGCATATCAACAGGAAATTATGGTTCAATTATTTTTTTTCTAGTAGTTATGCCCCTTTGAACTTAGAATTTTGGCCTAAATATACATTTGTACTATTGCAAGAGTTTGTCATCGCAACTCCTCTGAATCAACACAACAGAGTTTTATGAAACTTATATCCGTTGACTTTTGTAGAACTTAATAGTCTTTGAACTAGGAATCTGGGATATTTTTTTTTTGCCAAGTGACGAGGAGGGGGGTTCTTTAATTTGTTATAAAATAATGAGATTAGAAGATGTGGTATGATTACCAATGAGATTATCCAACAGAGTCCAAATGGCAATAAATAAAACTCATACCTTATAGTTAGATTACAAAATATAAAGCAATTCAGAAGAAAAAATACCTCCATGAAAGACATATATGGTTTGAAATAATCTTCTAAACTTTCCACCCGTAATTTTGATCAGTTTGAATTATTTTGGGGCTTAAAGGGTTGGAAAGAAATCTAAATTTTGTGTCTACCAGTCTGTAACAATTAAGAATTTAATTTTGGGTGTAACACCTCTTCTGATTGGCTGAAAGTTTTTTGTCTATCAGCTCAAAGACATAATTTTGTTATGTGACTGTGACGTCATCAACATTATTTCGTGATGTATTCCTTAAAAATGGAATTTAGAATTAAATTATAAGGAATGACTGTTATATTTTCTGTCAATTTGAAATAACTTTAAAAATGGGTTATTCGGTATGCACCCCATTTTTGATGTTATTTCTTCATAGACAGAAAAAATATAACAGTCATTCCTTAATAAATTATAACATACATGTATATGTTTTTGTATTTTAGGAGACCAAATCCTTTGCAATGAACTTATTTCGAGGAAGGGTAATGTCAGATGAAGTTTTTCCATACCCAGAAGGTAATTTTAATAAAACTATCTTTTGGTTTTAAGACAAAGTGTGTACTATAATGTACAATAATTAGAATCACAAAAACTATACAATTATAACAATATTAGCTGTTACAGTAGACAATTATTCCAAAATGTTTGACATGTATATAATTCATAAACAGCGGCTGCAATCTTTTTTTCTATCAAATGTATCTTAAAAATGGGATATGAAACACAAAAAGACATTTCTTGAGTCACATGTAATAACAAATATATAACTATGTACATGTTTGGTAACTGTAAATAATTAAAGTACAAATTATAGCAAGGTAGATGCATTCCAGGTCATAATTATGGTTTGTGAAAACTGAAGGTGAACAAAATAAGCTTGAACAGTAACATATGTATGGAAAAATCTATGGAAAATGTCCATGAAAAGGTCATGTTCTTGGCCTTGTTATTTTGTTATTTTTATTTCTCTAATTCTTCGTCAATTTATCCCTTTCTGCACCCATTGTATAAAAAAAATTTAATCAACGTGTGGTTCGTTTGATCTCAGTTCTTCATTGGTTAAAATCCGATTATGACGTCGAATTTTCTTGCTTTCCTCTGAATTTCCTATTGTGACGGCATGAAAAAAGGCGACCATGCCTGATGACGTCACATAGAAAGAACACATCTTTTTGCAGATCATTCGAAAAGAAGGAATAAATTTGCCTGCGTATTGTTTGAAAATCATTAGAGAAACAGATTCCACCACTAAATCTCGTGTAATACGATATTTATCCACTCTCGACAGTTAAATTTTAAATATTTTAAACGCTCGGCAAGCCTCGCGTTTTAAATTTGAAAATTTAACTGTCTCGAGTGGATAAATATCGTATCAAACTCGATGCAGTGGTAGAATCTATATTTATCTCAATATCTGAGATTTGAACAGCTTAAATAGTGGTGTGATAAGTTTTATTTTTTATATGACATATTTTTTATTTCAGTTTTAACAAATGAACAAAAGGAAATGCTGCAAGCTCTAATAGACCCTACAGCCAAATTTTTTGAAGTAAGTATCATTAACATAGAAATATAATTTTGATAAACTCAACAGAAAGTTCAGATGCTTGTGATTTTGTAGGGCTCTTACAAGTAGAGGTAAAAATCCTGTTTTCAGAGATTCACGCGGGGTATCATGAAATATTATTGAAAAAAAAGTTATCATATTTTGTTTATATAGTTTTTGTGTATTTTTCAACCCAGACTATGGATAATAAGCACCTTTAAAGCTAAGACTGCTCTTGCTCACTAAAAATTGTCGTCAGAAAAAATAACCAACCTCAAATTTTTGTCAGCAATTCCATAAGTATTTGTGCCAAATTCTTATAAGCTTTAACTGCCCTTATCACAATACTACAGAATGTACAAAAATTTATTATACACTGGTAATTGATTGAAAGTTATATTTGTTGACAAACATGTACATGGACATTTTGGCATGGAAGGTCCAGGACTGTTGCATTATACAAATTAAAGGTCTACCTTTGGATTAAAAGGTCATAGACCTTGGACCTCCATTAATTGAACCCTTGATCAATTTTCATGTTATTGTAGGAACAAAATGATGCTCTGAAAAATGATGCATTAGAAAAAGTAGAGGACCATGTTATGGAAGGACTAAAGGCATTAGGAGCATTTGGTTTACAAGTCCCTGAAGAACTAGGTAAGGAGAAGTTTGTTATCAGGTGCACTAAATTATGAAGATTTATCATGAAGGTAAGGTGAATGAAACAGCAATCTAACATCACTTTAAAACCAGGATAAATAATATTTAAGGGCATACGATACAGTAGAGATTCCTCGTTGATTTTTTCTTGAAATTTTGGTAGAAGGTCAATTTTAATGTGTACTTTTGAAATGTGCAAAGAAAAATATACCTTCATGACTTACTTTTTGAGATAATTTGGTTCGAAATTTGCATATTTGAAGGAAAAACACTGAAATTGCATAAATAAGGACTTTTAAGGAAAGTAACAATACTTTTGAACGAACAGTTACAATTTAACCAGGTTTTTTGTAAAAAGTTCCTTTGAACCACGGCATCAAAATGCTGTAACAAGTTTAAGGTTTAACTTAATTTTTGTTTTTTTAAATTATATTACTATTAGTGAAATAAAGAAATTGACGATGTTTTTGCGTCTATTCAGAAGTGCAGAAAAAATTTGATCTTTGATTTTTTCTTAGAATTTTGGCGGAGCGTCCCTGAAACATTCCTTGATTGATTGCAAAAGAAAAAAATGGGGGTCCATGTGCTTGTTTTTTCAATAAAAGCAATAAACCATGATTTTTAATGGCAAACCAATAAGGCGCTAAATTACGTTGAAATAAGTTTTAATCGCAACAACGTCGTGAAATCTTTCCCGTCGTTCACGACTACGCTGTCAAGTTCAATGGTATAGCCAAGGTTTTTTTTCGAAATCAATGATATTTATCATCAATATTTATAAAGATAGTTACTCGTAAAGTAGCATAAACTATTTGCCAAACCTTTATGAATTGTTATGAAACTTGGATAGAAAAAGTATTTTAGTAAATTACTTTTAGAAAAGAAATGACCGGAAACAAAAAAAATAATAAATCTAATAAAAAAAAAAAAAATAATTTGCATCTCTGTCCGAAATTAGTCCTACATTTCATGTTGACAACACAGATTGAGATAGTTTTAATTTTCAAAAGTCCCCGACATGACAAACAATTTTAAATTACAAAAAAAAGTAGATGGGATAATATAAAAAAAAGGACATTTGGTATTAGACAACTTTATCAATCATAGTTCAAATGATGAAGATAAACACAATTAAAGGTCACTGCACGGCCTTTGACACACAAAAAAGCCACATTTATTTCGTAATTGTCTCAATATATATAGTCCATTGCGGTGTAGTATAACATTTTATAGGAAGTACAGCAGTCGATATTAGAGCATACCATTGCATGATTCTCTATCAATAGTTAGGTTACCTTAGCTTGTATTCAGGCAGGGTATTTTTTATAAGGTACATATTTGTCTGTATTATACCTCCAATCTAGGATTGGGTGCAACACCATTGTTTGTCCGTCCGTCTGGTGGTCCAACAAATTTTTGTTTCTTATCTGATAAACTACCTTACAGAAAGACTTCTTATTTGGACAGTAGCTTAACAACAGTGAGTTGCAACTTGTATAAACTTTTCTTGTCTGTCAGATACCTAATTCCGGTGTGTCGATACTTCAATTGTTTTCTCTCAATATGTACATAGGGATAAGCTTAGCGCATGAACGGGTGCGTTTATGTTTTGGTCTGTAATACGTACGGGGCTCTTAACTGTGTTTACTTAACTGAGAGTTATTCTTCATACACATATAAATATTCCACTGGTTAGTTCTAAAAATGCCATTAAACTTTTGAATGTACCTATTCAAAGTCAGGATCAGTATGAGGCGTTGTCTTTATTTCTTATGTTATTTTAACATTTTGTTGATAGTCTGTTTAATTTATCCGTACAAATGTCATACGATTTAGAGCTTGCCAAGTGGTGTATATATAGATACTGTATTATGGTCAAGACAGTATGTTGAATTATTTATTGGGCTTTTTGTGTAGTTGGCTTTCTGTCTCCTCGACGTATTATTTTATTTACATATCTTTTATTCATTTCCTATATGAAATAAAACACATACAAAACTATGACTGTGGATTTGATTATTTTTTTCACATTTCAAGTAAATACTATTGACTTCATTACTAATGAATAAATATTACAATTTTCATGATATGGATCAATTTTTTTAGCAGGTACCTGTATCAAATTCGCGCAATCGGATTATGACGTCAGTGGATTTTTTCCGCAAATGTGACTACATCTAAAGCGACGTCGCAAAATGTATCATTCTTTTAAGAAACATCGCGAAATTACAACGTTCTGATTAACAACATCGCGAAAACAACACGAAAAGTTTTGAAAACTTTATTATCTGCCCTTGCTACTGTATCGTATGCCCTTAAGTCAAAATATGGTCTTATACAATTTACAAGTGTATGACATATGTCAAGTTGTTAATCCAAACAAAATTATAAAATTGGGAAATGATTTAACAGAGACAAGTAAAGATCTACCATCAACAACAAATCATTCAAAGGTAAATATGACCAAAGATATCTGCTTAAGAAAATCAACATATTAGACTAGCACAGAAAGATTTAAAGTTTTTTTTTAACACCCCTTATCTTGATCAGTGTAATGGCAAGAGGTACCTACATGTATAAGAAAAATACATTAAAACAGTTAAGGCCTTTAAATCTAACTTTTAATTTAAATAATGACAGATGTTTCATGAAACGTTTTCCACTGGTTTCAAACAGTAAAAGAAGAAAAAAAAATGTAGAAAAAGCTACAAACACAAGGTTTCATTATGAAAAAAGGATTTTGACAATTAATGGAAGCTGCTTAATTATAATCCTATTTATTTTGTATTGATTCATTTGACAGAAAATGTATACAGTCATCACCAGGGATGGGGTAATCGTAATCTGTAATCGTAATCGATTGTAATTGATTACATTTTTTCCAGTAATCGACAGTAATCTGTAATCGAAGACATTTTCGATTACATGTAATCGTAATTTAATCGATTACAGCAAAAATTGTGATGTAATCATCGATTACTTTTCGATTACATTTCGATTACTTTAGTAAAATAGTTTGATGAAATATGACCTATTCTAAATGAAAGTATGTATGTATTAAACAGAATGTATCATTATGATTTAAGAGTTTATCAACTGCTTTATATCCATTGTCACAAGCTGCATTATGATCAACCAGATCCCCTTCAAATTTTACTTTATATCTAGCTTTTGAAAAAAAAATGGTATTTATGTGCTTGTCAATAATTCAAGACCTTATATATTAAAATAAGAAAATAGTTTTGAAATAAGAAAATAGATTTAAAATAATAAATGAATCTTAAGTTATGTACTGTACTACATTAAAGTAGTAAGCTTATTTGTATTAACATTCTTTAAAGCATAATTTTAAATAAGAGTTGGAATTTTAGATTAGAATAGATAATCAGTTGATTCCTTATAATGTTATGATATAAAAATCAAAAAGTACACAAAATCCTTTCGACAATGAACCATTGGCTATGCACTGAAATTCTTTTGGAGAAATAGATACATGTATCCCATTTTGACACTATGAATATATATTGTTTATAATTTGATTAGAGAATAAAAAAATCTAAACACTATTCTTGTCTTTACTAATCAGATGATAAAAGACTTCTAATAAATAAGATGTAGACTTTGTTTTCATTTCAATTATGTCTAATTAAGAGGGAGATTTACATCATTTTGCCCCAGGTTATAAATTGTACTCCATTGGCAGTTTTATAACCTGTAATTGGGGTGGTTATCCAAACAAAAGGATTAATTCATGCATGACATTATAATTATAAATTTTGATCTTTGAAATTAGCTGAACTAATTAATTATTCTACTTTTTTCAGAGGAAAACTTCCAACATTGCAATTAACTATGTTGAATAAAAATTTACCTGTTTTTAATGAGTCAAAACAAAAAAGCTACTCTAAGTCAGTATGAAAGCAAAATTTTTGAAAAAAAAACTTGCAGTATAAATAAGTGATTGATGCAATGCGATGTCATCTCTCGTTCATGTTGAAAGCCAAATTTCAAGAATGTTTGAATATTTCTGATCCTCAGTAAGAGATTCCATCTAGAAAAAAAATGTCAACTTAAAATTTGAAAACAATGCTCTAAATGCTGTTTTTGGTAAATTTCTAAATATCCACTATACAAATGTTGAGCAACATAATTGTGTTTAACTTTAACTTACTTTATTATTTGTTTTGTAATTTTGTAAAATGTAATTGACAGTAATCGAAAAGTAATGTAATTACTTTTGATAAAGTAATCGATTGCAATCGATTACATACAAAAATCAGAGTAATCGATTGCACAAAATTCCTTCATGTAATCGATTATTAATCGATTACATTTGTAAGTAATCGTGCCCATCCCTGGTCATCACAGTACAGAAAATAAATGCACTGTGATTACTTATTCAGGGGTGGAAATTTATAACCAAAAGATCAATAACCAGCTGGCACCTTACAAAAATATTACAAAAAAAAGACTTAGACTGACAAATCATCCCCAATTATTTTATTTGTGTTGTAGGTGGTGTAGGGTTAAGTAATACACAGTATGCCAGACTGGTAGAGATTGTTGGCTCACATGATCTTGGAGTTGGGATTACATTAGGTGCACATCAGGTAATTTATGAATTGGTTCAATATTGTCATAATCAAAGATGTTAAGCATTGATATGTTCCTATTTCTCTTTAGATTTGGTCCGTGTCCATCCGTTAGTCCATCCCATAGTAGGATAAAGTTTTTGGTTAAGATAGTTTACCGTGAAGGTGTGGTCACATCAACTAAGGTGTGGTCACATCAACTTGAAACAGTACACATGACGTGAACTTGGTTAATGTAGTTTTCCATGAAGTTTTGGCAACATGTTTGGTAACATCAGCTTTAAATTAGTACACTATTCATTGTGATGTGAAATTTTAGATTTATACGACAAATTCTGATTTTGACCTGATTTCACAGTTCACTGAACATGGACATAGGATAGCCTGAGCAGGGCATGCTTACCACTTTATGAGTAGCTGACTTAAAACAATTTCATTCTAAGTGTACATATGTTTATTTGTTATGTTGGAATATAATATATATTTTTATATGGCTTATGAAAGTAGAAGTGTCAGGCTTATCACGTATGTCCTCCCTGCTTCATGATAAGTACAGAATTTTAATGAATCCTATATGTAAGATAATGTTCGGTATTTCTAATTGCTGCAGTGCTTTAAATCAGCACATTGTGATTTTGGCATGTTAGGTGAAAATTATATATGAGAAAAAGGATACAAAAATTTGATTCAGCATTTTCATCTCGTACTAAGCATGGTTCACATCACAAACATGCATTCATCATGATAAGGTTGAAAACTACTCACTACACATTAAACATCTCATCATTCATTCATCCTTGATATCCAGAGGAAAGCTGGTAAATATTGTTTTCTCTTCTCAAATTACTAGATAAAAGATGGAAGTAGCTATATATAGCCTATTTGTATGTTACTGATGAAAATTTCATTTTCAGTCCATTGGATTCAAAGGTATATTATTATTTGGTACCCCAGAACAAAAAGCTCAATATCTCCCAAGGCTTGCAAGTGGAGAACACATGGCAGCCTATTGTCTGACAGAACCTTCCAGTGGATCTGATGCTGCGGTATGCATAATTTTTTTTGCTTATGAGTAATTTTTTGATTTTTTTTATTCCACATTATATAGCAGTTGTATATATGATAAATTTAGAATAGTATTGGTCAGTATGAAATAGAACAGTTATAGATATATCATGAATGTTGTGTACAATCTTTTTATTATTTTTTGATATATTTGAATATTTGATGACTGTGTGTTGTTTCTTACTGGATAACCTATATATTTATGTATGTATTTTGCAGTCAGCTAAATGTAGGGCAGAACTGTCTCCAGATGGAAAACATTTTATATTGAATGGTAGCAAACTTTGGATCAGTAATGGTGGTTTGGCAGAAATTTTCACAGTGTTTGCTCAAGTAGGGAAAGATAAAAGAACTGTAACATACACATACTTGTCATGCATGTATAGTCAGCTAATGTAACATCACGTAATCTTACTGCTAAACTTATTTAAAGAGATTGATTTTTTGGAAAATAGCATCAAGATATATACACACTTCTGATACATTGAATTTTATTAAGATAACGCTGCCTTCACGTTTCTAGCCAGTATGAAAAGAATGAAAAAGTTTGTTATACTAGAGTTACATTTGGTTTGATATCATTAGAATTCAATCTCATCTCCTCATCTAAAACCATCTGTGGTCCTATTTTGAAGTTGTCCTGTTCTGTACAAATAAATGAGAAAATTTTTAAACACAAGTGAACCAACGCCTGGTAAATCTTCTGTCAGTAGATTCCATAAAGTGGATACCTCGGGTATGCAGGGTCGTCACGATAAAAACATAATTTATTGATATCGACATGTTTCGGTGGCTAGGCCACCGTCATCAGGATAGAAAACAATACATAAAATCATGCTGAGGTACAAAATCGGGTTGAAAAAAATAAAACGTCACAATGTTGCTATGGTGAGTAACGTTATAAATAGCAATTGAAAGAGAAAGTGAAAGTAAGTATATATGGAAGTGAACTATTAAAATAAAATAAAATAAAATAAAAATACAATGTTTTTGTTGTTAAAATGTTTGTTTGGCCAAGGGATGCCAATCGAAATGGTACGGAATTGCCTGTAAAATGTCGTCTATATTTGGAAATAAAGACGTTAATTGAACACAAAGTTTTCACAGAACACAACTGACAATAATTTATTGTATAATTCACTCCACTGTGCAAGAGTGCTAACACATGATGGCAGAATAATTTTTACAAACATTTTAACAACAAAAACATTGTATTTTTATTTTATTTTATTTTATTTTATTTTTAAAGACAAGTGAACCAACGCCTGGTAAATCTTCTGTCAGTAGATTCCATAAAGTGGATACCTGGGGTATGCAGGGTCGTCACGATAAAAACATAATTTATTGATATCGACATGTTTCGGTGGCTAGGCCACCGTCATCAGGATAGAAAACAATACAAATACAATGTCATCTATATTTGGAAAAGGGAATCCAGTCGAAATGGTACGGAATTGCCTGTAAAATGTCGTCTATATTTGGAAATAAAGACGGAATTGCCTGTAAAATGTCGTCTATATTTGGAAATAAAGACGTTAATTGAACACAAAGTTTATACAGAACACAACTGACAATAATTTATTGTATAATTCGCTCCACTGTGCAAGAGTGCTAACACATGATGGCAGAATAATTTTAACAAACATTTTAACAACAAAAACATTGTATTTTTATTTTATTTTATTTTATTTTAACAGTTCACTTCCATATATACACTTTCTCTTTCAATTGCTATTTATAAAGTTACTCACCATAGCAACATTGTGACGTTTTAATTTTCTCAACCCGATTTTGTACCTCAGCATGATTTTATGTATTGTTTTCTATCCTGATGACGGTGGCCTAGCCACCCAAACATGTCGATCTCAATAAATTACTGGAGCATTCCTTAAAGTGTTGTTGTTACTGGACCTTCTACAAATAAATGAGAAGTTTTTGCAATACAAACAAAATTCTCCAAAATGTTTCCTTGCCAAACAAAGTTCAGTCAACTCATTGCGGCTCTGCTACTATGGACATATTGGTTATATTGTTATAGTTCATGAATTTGTTGTCTGATGAACAGCCACTCTATATCCATTCTATTATATATATAAGAATCTGTATCTTTAGAACATATCTTGTACTTCAGTCAGTACTTCTAGCTGTATGAACAGAAAATGTGTTAAGGACTAGTAAAGGTTGATATTTTTTATTTACAGACTCCAGTAAAAGACGAGAAAACAGGAGAGACCAAAGATAAATTGTCTGCTTTTATTGTAGAACGATCATTTGGTGGTGTGTCAAAGTAAGTTTCTTTTTTTTGGGGAGAAGATTTGATACTCAAATTTTTCTATGGCGTTACCTGAACAGCCAGGATGTATGCAAATTGTAACTGAATCTATACACACTGAAATACAATTTAAATTTCTTCTTGCATCTATGTCAATATGCAAAAATGATTTTTCTAAAATATGAGTGATACTTTTTTTTTTTGCAGTAGTCAGGCTTTTACAATCCCTGTACATCACCACCTGACTATAGTGTTAAGGGTCTTGATATATAAAAACAAAAATTTTGAATAATTGACTACTTTTTTTTTCTACTTCTGTGAAAATGTATTATATAAATATCAACATTATAATAAAAAAAAAAAAAGAAACAATCACACACACACACTTGCACTTGTGTTAACATAACATATATCAACTTGTGTATTGAAAAGAAAAATGTTATCTTTATAAAGATCTGCTCTTTATAAACTGTAAGTTTCATTTTTTATTAAATATAATTAAAATCAAAAACTGTTACTAATCAGTAAAAATGTAATCTACTGAGGCCCAAAACTTTTGAAAATAATGTGTGGTACCATTTTTCTTTGCTATATAATGTTTATTTTCCTGATATTTTCTTACTTTTGCTATTAGCTCTATAATACTCAGTTTCTTTTCATACAATTTATATTTGTATATATAGTTCTATGCAATAATAATCATTAAATTTAACAATTTACTATCATCTTGAAGGCCAAGAAAAATTTGTTTCTTAGATTAATGTAAAGTTCACAAAATATTGTTTCAATTTTTGTGAAAAAGATTGCCATATAAAATGTTTTATTGGACATTCATAGAACAAATGCTCCATGGTTTCATCAGAAACCTTACAAAATGTACAAAGCTTTGAATCTTTAAGTTTAACTTTATACAAGAAAGTATTAGTTGCAATTATTCTATGCAAAAATTTGTATTGAAAAGTTCTTAAATAAGTGTCTGTACATGATTTTCTTAAAATAATATAATATTCTGACCAATCTGCAATTTCAATACCTAGTAATTCCTCCCATTGTAAGAACTTTTCTGTTGGCAGTTGCACATTTCTGTCAACAAGATCTTTGTATACAAACTTGGCCTTTTTGTTACACAATAATCTTTCCAAAAAATTGTCAGTACAGTTAAAAGTTTCAAAATTTACATGAGCAATGTTCTCTTTAATATGTTCTCTCATATGCTTTGGAATTTTGGCAATGAGACCATAATACTTCAAGAAATTATTTGTTTGAAGTCTTGGTCCCATCTGATCAAAATTACATGAATCCTTAGTCTCTAGGTTAACAAGATCAAACAAAGACTGCACTCCCCTTCTCTGCCACTAAATAAAGTATGGAAAATCTACTAGAGATGCGAAATTTGAAATATCTAATGACAAAATATCTTGAACAGAAATATTGGTAGTAGGATTTGCTACATGAAAGCTTAAAAAAATACATCCTTCCAAAAAGGATTGCTCAGACTATCAGAGATTTCTCCGAGTTTCTCCTTTTGAAAATGCAATACTCTCTCTCCACCATACTATTCAAGGCTTTTCAATAACAATAATTGCCAATTACCATATAAATTGGATAAAAACCGCTTTATCCAGCCAATCTTAAGGTATATATTAAAATAATGTATATTAATCATATTTTAACCTCCTTGTGGAATATCTCCAATTAAAGTATTTCCTCTAATTCGATCAGGTTTTCCTTTCCATATGAATTGAAAGAATAAAGCATTCAATTCATTTAATTTTGACTCTGGCAAGTTGGGTAGTGCAGTCAACAGGTGAATTAGTTTTGGAAGTGCCAAAGTCTTGATAACAGTAATCTTTCCCATTAGGGTTAATTTTCTATGTTGCCAACTCTTAAGAATGCCTGACACTTCCTTTATCTTTTTTGGAGAAGTTAATTTCTGGCATACTGTCAAGATCTAAAGAGAAATCAATTACCAAAAGTTTAAGATTTGAATAGCACTACTGAAGTTTTGATTCAGGACAGAGAATCAGATCTGAATACCTTTTGTTCCCAACCCACACAGCTTTAGTTTTAGAAGAGATAATTTTTAACCCTGATATATTTTGGAAAGAATCAAAACAATCAAAGTCTCCCACAATGATGCTTCACTTCCATCTAAAATAAGGAAAGTGTCGTCAGCATATTGACTCAAATTGGATTCATTTTCATGAACAAATGTACCCTTTATATTGGGATTTGACCTTATTTTCATAGTAACTCAACACCTATAATTAAAAGGTAAGGGTAGAGGGGGTCTCTTTGTCTACAGCTTCTCTCCAAATTAAAGAAGCTTGAAAGATGACCATTATTTACAACACAACTTGATGCTTTCAAATAAAATACTTCAAACCATCTGCATATAGATGGTCCAAAATTGAAAATCTTCAATGCTTTTTTCAAAAAGGACCATTCAAAGAGTCAAAAGCCTTTTCAAAATCTACTAGTAGTGAAAGACCAGTTTTGTTATGTTTTTCTAAATAGTGCATCAAATCATGCAATAGATGTGTATTATCACCCATAAATCTATATCCATTATAAAGCCTTTCTGACAGTCACTGATAATAGATTGTAAAACAGGTTTTATTCTATTAGCAATGACAGCAGAAGCCATCTTGGTATCAGTTTTCATAAGGCTAATTTTAACCTCGATTATTAAAGTTAATCTAATGGGTATGTATTATATTTAAAAGTATAAAACAAAAATTGTATATCTACTTCATACTTATTAATATATTAACCTGAAGTAGGAATAGATTTAATTTTCTTCCATTTTTCTAGAAATTTGTCAATTTTTCCACCTTTTTTCATGATTTTGTATCTGGCGCCACCCCTCACCCATTGAAATTTTTATTGAAATGTAAAGAATATGGTATATAAAGAATATTTCAGCAAAAATATTTGTGGGCAAAGGGTGGCTCCACTGTTAATTTTTCAGAAAACTGTCATAAATTTTGCAGAATTCTACAAAAAATCAGGTTTTTATGATATTCCCTTTCCTTATGATGTCACAATTACTTCCCTATTGTCGCAATTGCTAAAAATATGTTTTAACTGAAACAATTGGACATTTTAACATATGTTTTAATCAAGTTTTCACTATATTATCACAGTGAAAATTTTTCAGATTTTTAGGGACAAAATTATGAGTTAGCAAACCAACTCCTTTAAATTTTAATATAGATATGATTATTTAATGATTCATTATAGATATTGAGGATGTAAATTATATTTGTAAAATTTAAATTTTGTGAACTTCTTCTTTTTTCAGTATTCAGACATAATGTTTTTTTTTAATATAATATTTTTCAGTGGTCCTCCAGAGAAGAAAATGGGAATAAAGGCCTCAAACACAGCAGAAGTATATTTTGAAGACTGTCCCATTCCAGTAGAAAATGTATTGGGAGGTAAAAAAAATCTTTTCAAAATTCATTTTATCATCTATTGTATTTATTTGATAATCAAGCATTGTCTTTGAATAAGAAATTTGATTGAAAGTAAGACTTTAACTATAAGAAATTCATATATTTGCAAGGTATTTTTACACCCCCGCCGTAGCGGAGGGGGCATTAAGGTTTACCCTTGTCCGTCCGTACATATGTCTCGAAATTGGTTTCCGTTCTCTCTCTTTAGTAAATTAAGTTTGCCTCAACCAAATGTTATGAAACTTATACACAATTTCAGTGTTCTCCCCAGGGCCTTTTACCATCATGGTAATGTGATGCTATCTGAAACTAGTTTCTTATAGATAATGTTATGGATGTGATGCTATAGTTTCTAGAAACAAGATGGTATTTCATAATTTCCTGTTTACCAGGATGATATAAGAAATTTCTGAGGAGAACACTGAATGCTTATTACCACAATATCAGATCAAGTTCGAATTTAAAAACCAGGCTTTATACAAGTGACTACATATAGATAACTTATTCTTATCCAGTCTGCATAATTTTGACTGCACAAAAAGCATAGATATAGTAAAGATTCAATTTCTTGCCCATCTATTATGTTTAAAACACTCGTGAATGCAGAGATTTACTTTACTCTCGATTTAGTGTCAAATGTTAGGTTCACTGTGCCATTCAAGCCTAATATTTTTTCAACTGTACATGTATTAAAAATAAGACAATGAATATCAAAATGTACAAGTCGTGTTTACTTTTTTGTACTTTGTAGAGGTTGGAGGTGGATTTAAGGTAGCTATGAATGTTCTAAATAATGGTAGATTTGGTATGGCAGCTGCTCTCTCAGGGACAATGAATTATTGTATTCAGAAAGCTGTAAGTATTTTGTCAAACTTGGATTAGATAGGTTTGTAGGAGAATGTAAAATGTACAAGAAAAAATATTTTTCATTTTATTATTGGTTTTGTGTTGATAGATGAGAAATGAAAAGATTGCTTTTTTTTCCTATTTTTGCATACACAGTTTGACTCATTCTGTTATATTGTAAAGTTGGCCTCCCCCTATAATTTGAATGGAAGAATCATTTGTTATATGTTTTGCCGCTTAAGTTCCATGTATTAAGTATTAACTGTAGCTTGACAACATCTACATTTACAAATCTTAGTACAGTCGAACCTCGTTGTGTCGAACTCGGTTGTGTCGAAAACTCGGACGAGTCAAAGTAATTTCTCGGTCCCAGTAAAATTCCCGTTTGATCAATGCATAATAACCTCTGATAAGTCGAACTTGGTTGATTCGAATACTCTGTTAAGTCGAGTAAATTTTATAGTACCGTCGATGTAAAATTCATGTAAATTGACCCCGATGACTCGAAGTTCGAAAGTAAGAATTCATAAAAGATGCAGACCTAATGATAAAAATTCAAATCAGATGTATTTCTTATGTAACCTAATCATTTTCAAAAGAGATTAAAGCTGAGTAAACATACTTGTTTGTATAACAGTTAAAATGACATGTTTATGGTGACCGGTAATTAACACCTTTGGTTGATTGTTCAAGCGGAATGTTAGTGTGTTGAACATTTATCACATCGGATAAAAACAAAACGAATTTAAATGACCTAAGCCGAGATAAAATTCGTTAGATTTAAAACTCATTAATTACAATAAATAAAAGGATAAGAACAATTATGATAAATTCATGATAATTTAATGTAAAGCAGACGACCTCTGGCTCACCAGAGACCGTTCATAACTTAATTCGTTCCGCAAGTGATTTCATAATTTATAGTGACTGACCTTTGTAAATATTTGTGTAGACTATTGATTTTATTTGTGCATGATTTTTATCTGTACTTGTGTGTTTAATTATTATGAAGGAACAAAAATGGAGATTGAATGCACAATCATAAAGTGTCATATCGAAAAAAGGCACACTGTTCATTGTATCTAGTTTACACAAATCATACCGTATTTCATGCATTCCAAATTTATGACGACACACTCGACCTCGGATGAGTCGAACCTCGGATGTGTCGAATACTTTGGTCCGGTCCCTTCGACTTCGACACAACGAGGTTCGACTGTAGCTTATTATTTAATTTAATGGTGTTTTGGGGTAACTAACTGATAGAAAATGGTATACCAGGGGTAATATACCAATAAAGACAATCTGGAATCTATGTTGAAATGTATAGAAAAAGTATTGAACACAAGAAATGCTATAAAGTGATTAAGATTTATTGATGGTTTGTTTTAGATTGAGCATGCATCACAGAGAACCCAGTTTAAGAAGAAGTTATCAGACTTTGGTTCTATTCAAGAGAAGATTGCTAGAATGGTTATGGTTCAATATGTCACTGAGGTATAATTTGTGGCAGGTTATGTATTTATAATACAACAAATTGTAGTGCACCAACTTACAATGGTTGACTGTCTGTATACTTTAAAAAGTTATATGGAATATTGAAACTGTGTTTACAACTTTCTTTATTTTAACTTTTACATTCATATTACATTTACAAAAAAGGCCAACTTATAATGAAAATTCAGGAAAATTCAAGTGCTTAGTTTATGTCCTGTTTGCATTGATTTACAGTTAACTCTTGTTGTCTTGAACTCTTTTGACTCGAAATTTCGTAGGAGTCGAAATTTTCCCGTGGTCCCATACTTTGTTCCATATGAATATATGTGTATTTTGCTCCTGATGAGTCGAAGTTTCAGTTGCCTTGAACCAAATTTACGGTCCCAAGGTTAACAAAAGCCTTTAAATTGCGAATATTTATCTCGAACTACAGCTCTTTTCATAATGCTAGCAAGACAAAGAATTGTTTGGCTTGCTTGCTTTGTTTGTGTCAATGTTTGCTCAAGCATTGTAATTAAGATTGACATATGAAAACAACATAAAAAGGCAGATTTAAACTTGTATACATTATATTTAAATTTGATAGGACATTATCAAATAATCAAATTTACCTATACTCAGGTTTAACTCCGCCTACTTATATTGTTTGCAGCTGTCAATCTTAAATACAATGCTTGAGCAAACATTTATACAAACAAAGCAAGCAAGTCAAACAAACCTTTGCCTTGCTAGCATTATGAAAAGAGCTGTAACACATTTGTCAAAACATGACCTTGGGAATTTAAATGGATTGAAGAGTTCACCTGACAATACACGTGTATAAATTAAATTTTCGGTCACTGACCGCAGTATTGATTTATGACATTCTTTTTCCACGAGTGTTTACCTAAGATTATCTTTGATCACAATGATAAATGATTAGTGATGCATTGTTATATTATATTTCAAATTATTTATAATGTTTGAAAAACAATTAACAGTAATTATACATTTATGAGCTTGTGTGTGCATAAAGTAGAGATTAAGACTTAGTGATCAACTAAAAAATACTCAGTCGGCTTCTTTAATCTTTTTGTAATTTATCTTGCAGAAAAAAGATTGAAATAAAAGAAAATGAAAAGATATCTTAATTTTCTAAAATCTCTTGTATACAAGAATGAACAATTTTTCAACTTTAAATCACACTAAGATCGATTGGAAATTACACTTTCGGCTAAAAACTACGGAATTTTTTTTTAACTGTACAAAGAAATAAATAAGAGACGCAAAAATCACATAACTTTTATTATAATAATAAAAGAACATTAAATACAGATACATCGATCTGAGAACAGAATATCGATCCCCTACCCATATTCATCAGGATTTATTTTAGCCTTACCAAGCTAAGCAAGAGTTGTATCCCTTGGTCTGTCGAACTACAGGTATCTCGAAATATTTCTCTGGTCCGACTGACTTTGACTTAAGGAGAGTCCACTGTAGTTATAAATATATTTTGTCATGAGATCATCATTGTTTTTCCCCTGACATTATAGCACCATGGTACCATGGTGCTATCTAATAATTATTTTTTCAATTGAATTTTCAATAGAATGTAAATTTAATGTGGTGCTATAATTTCAAGGAGAAAATGCTATTTTAAATCCATTTTGCCAATTGACAAAGTTTGGAGAACACTAATATCATAATAAAATAAGAACTAATTTTGACCTTTTAAAAACTTGTACTACATGTAGTTGCAGTTATCATAATTGTGATATTAAAACAAGTTCAAATCATTAGTATGATTCTCGTTTTTTTTTTCCCCGCCAACGGAGATCGGGGCATTAAGTGTTACCCTTGTCCTTCTGTCCCGCCGTACTTCTGTCTGTCACATTTTCAAAGATTGAGCGGGGGCATTCGTGTCCTCAGACACATTCTTCTTTTATTTATTTTTTTAATTCTTCATATTGATGTGTATCCAGATAAGACATTTTTTGAATTGTTAAGTCTCACTGTGACATTTACCTTTTTTTGGAATTCTTCATATTGATGTGGATCCAGATAAGACATTTTTTGAATTGTTTTAAAAGTCCTACTGTAACATTATTACTTACATTTTGAAATTATTTTCTCTGTTTTCATTGAGAAATATGATTAAAAAGTGGTTGAATTCATCATTAGCATGATTAGTGAGGATGTACCTTTTTGCCTTAATTATTATCACACAAATTTTTTTTGAAAAGCTCTTCCTGAAGATTTTGTCAAAGATTGTTACTTTATAAGACATAACTTTTGATAAAAATAAATTTAAAAACCATTTAATTATATGTTGGCAAAAACTTTTATTCTAAACTGCATATTCTGTAATTTTTTTCTTTAGTCCATGGCATACATGTTGTCAGCTAATATGGATCAAGGAGCAACAGAATTCCAGATTGAAGCTGCCATCAGTAAGGTGTATGCTTCTGTAAGTACAGCCTCAATGTATCAATAGATTCTCTATCTTGTTACTCTGTATTTTCTAAAAATTCATTCAGACCATTAAAACATGTTTGTTCAAAAAGGGTATCAATTCATGTTTCATAAATGCAAACAAAAATTGGAAATTTTCCAGATAACTTCAAAATGCCTTCTGCATTGATTTCCTGTTTATAGATTACTTATATCTTCTTCATGGTCATGTATGAAATTTTCATCATGTTAACCCAGGCACTAGAAATCAGAGCTACTTCAAATTTGGTATTGGACTTCGTGTGAACATTGTATACAGTGTGATGTATTCTAACATTGCTCATCAATTTCCTGTTTGCCAAATACTGATGTATTTTCCCACATAATGGCCATTCATTATTTTTGTCACAAGAGGGCATTTTTCAAACTCAAATTCTGTATTCTATTCTTTATTTTTAACAGGAAGCAGCCTGGTTTTGTGCAGATGAAGCTGTACAGATCCTTGGTGGAATGGGTTATATGAGGGTAATACAACTATAATGTAATACACACAAAAAATCATTATCAAAATCTACTTACAAAACTGCAATGGAATTAAATCTTACAAATTATGCATTTTCTTCACCACCTCTTTAATGGTCTAACCTAGCTGAGTTTATTCTGTATTAAACACAATCTTTGAATGTAAAAAACATAATCTCACTTTCTGGTAAAAAATAAGAATTATTGAAGAAAAAATATTGAAAATGATAAAAATGAAAACAACATGTTATAAATTTCATGCACTCGAAGTGCTTTTCTGGATTTACCTTCATCAGGAACGCTCATAGCTGAATATTTGAAAGCCAAGGATGAATAAGAACCAAAACAGTTGAAGAGCTATATTACCAATAAGGACCTAAGGACACTGACTAACTACTAGTCTATTAGACTATAGATTTTAGGCTATGTTTGTACTTCAAGATCAGTTACTTGTATGTCTGTCCTTAGTTCTAGGAGTATTAAACTAAGAAGGCACAGTCCAGGTTACTACTTGTATATAGTTCTCACAAATCATGATAATCTATTAAATATCAATAAAGGAAGTCAATGTCATCTGTTAATAATAGTTTTGAATGGATGTTTTGCTCTGCAAAATTCTATTCAAATTTCAATTTAAATTCATATTTTTGATTTGTTTATATCAAATTATGTTATCTTAATCTGAAGAAATTAAACTTAAGTATTATTATTTTTTTCCTTTAGGATTGTGGATTAGAGAGAGTTGTGAGAGATTTGAGGATTTTTAGAATCTTTGAAGGAACCAATGAAATTCTTCGATTGCTTGTGGCTTTGACAGGCATGAATGTAAATATCACAAAGTTTTCCATTCTTTCCATATATTATAAAAACTGAAGTGGTGGTTGATAACCTCTTGTCTTCTCTTCAAAAATTTGACGCAATCCTTATTTCAGACTGAATTTACATCGACTGAGTACTTGGAAAACGGTTTAAATTTAAAAGTTCAGCAAACAACAATCATTGATTACACAAAGGGAGCCTTAATTTATAGTTGTTATTACTGTTTAATGAGGAAAGTAAAAGAATCTTTTGTTTTAAATTAAAAGGAATATAATTTATAATATAAGTTTGCATTTCATACTATCAAACAAAAAAAATGAATTTACAAGATTTTTAAAAAGTTTATCATATGCAGACTCTCAGAATTACTAACTGTACAAGATCTATATAAAAGACAATCATTTACTATATCCATGCCTGGTTCTGACAAACATTTACTATTCTAGCATGCTGGAGAACATTTACGACAACTACAGAAAGCTTTAGAAAATCCTTTGGCAAATGTTGGGACTTTGTTTGGTGCTGCTGGAACCAGGGCTAAAAGGTAAGGAATATAATAGTCCGCAGGAGAGTCAACATTAAGGAAACACTATTATGAAAAAAGTAACATGTTTATTTTATATGCAATAATTGTCTCACCTGTGACAACTTTGCTGTTGCTGAATGTCAGAAATTAGTATTCCGTTTTTGCAGATAATAGTCACATGTTAAAAGATGTACTGACCATGTGTGCTATTATTATGTTTATCACAAACTTATCTTGTTTTGATTAAAAAATTGCAAACTGGCATGATATCTAGAACTATTGTGATATATGTATTATTGAGAAGGGGTTTAATGAATGTTTCTATTTTCAATGAAATTGATAACATACTGTCTGAGTAATAATGCTTTCCTTCTAGTCTTCCTGTCCATCTTGCACAGTGTTGTCAATGCCAAATCTCCAAGCATTGTGAATTGAAAGAATCATGACAATTGTTTCATATCATGGGTAGGAGTACTTGAACACTGTATTAAGATCAAGTCTTAAATATTCTTTTTTTTGTTCCATGATTAAAGATCGGATTATTACTATTAGGGCTCTTCATCAAAGATGTGGGAGCCCTATAGTTTTCACTTTGTCCATCGATCTGTTGGTTTGTCTGTCCATCTACAATTTTTGTAAAGGCAAAAACTCCAAAAGTATAAGTAGGAGGCCAATAAAATTTTGCACAGTTGTTATTTAAGAATTGAATGTTTCTTTTTGAAAATTTATTGTGGTGTAAAAGTGTTGACCGAAGTACATTTTGTATTTTTGCACTTCATTCCAAAAATGTGTGCACAGTCAACGCCTTTTCAACCCTTTAAAATTACTAAAAGAAGTTTTCAATACTTATTACATTTTTTTGCTAGGATCATGAAAACACGATTAAGGTTTTCTTTTATTTACCTGTGCATTTTATTGTGGAAACTCATGTCATCATGAATGTTACGTTTCAATTTGAAATGAAGGTTAATTTCAGAATGACGCAAGATTGCTGTTAGCCAATCAAAATAACGTATTATAATGTAATGTTATTATTAATAAATAGATGTGCATACTATATTTTGAGGAAATTCGGCTCATTAATCATGTTAATTTTATAAAAATCTTTAGTTTTTGATAAAAAAAATTACAAATTTTAAGACATGTCTTTTGTTAACACTTAATTCAAAAAGCATAGGTAGGAAGCCAAAGAAATTTTGCACAGTTAATGGGCATATTATGAAGATATGCATATTATATAAATGTGCATATTATATTTCAGTGGAATTTTGCTCATTAGTTTTGGTAAAAGCTTTAAAAAAAAATTTGAGAAATGTCTTCTTATAATAGGATTTTAACAAAAACTGATACATAATATAGGCATTATATGCATTCCAAATTGTTCTGAGATTCATATTTCTTGCTAGGATTTGAATGAAAAAGGAAATGAGTCTCTGTATCAAAATTATTGGTTGCTCACCATTTATGAAAATGGCCACCAAAATACATGTCATAGTACTTGGATATTAACAAAACATATAATAATCAGGAACACATCCTAAATTAATTGCTGGTGTTGAAATATATGAAAATTGACAACCTGTGAACCTTTGCTTTGTATGCATCAGTCTCTTTGCCTCGCATAAAAATGTGCAAGTGGGCCCTTGCTGACATGTCAGTTTTCTCTAGTGTTTCTGTAGTTTTCTAAGGTGATAACAGGGGCAATATTTATAAATTACTAGACCAAAAATTGCCTTTCAAAGTCTGGTGTGCTTTCCTTTTTTATGCCATTACCAGAAAGTGTTGAGGAAAATATAAATTATGAACCTGTTCTTCAGTCTGTTATTATGAATTAGCAGTTTCAGCTATTCAGTATATATAATAGACTATCTTCATATTACCAACTTTTGACTCCGGATTATATAATTTGTCGACTGGTTACCTTGGACATCATGGTACTCGGTCAAGTAAGAGCAGCCAAAATAAGTAAAATCAAACATATAATCGGTGTAATTTGAGGGGAAATTTTACTGTTTTCCGATGTTTTTGTAGTGAAAAAAAATATTAACCAGGTAATTTTTCCCCAAAATTGTACCGATTGAAAGCTTGGTTTTACTTCTTTAGCTTGCTCTTACCTGACTTGGTACCATGATGTCCAAGGTAACCAGTCGACAAATTATATAATCCTGAGTCAAAAGTTGGTAATATGAAAATAGTCTATTGGATCTTATGCCATTTTCACTTTACACTTGTCAAATTGAAAGGAGGTGTTAGGTGTACATCAATGAGACAGTAATCCAATATGTTTTATATACACATTACGCAGTAGGACTGTAAAAGAAGTAGTTCTGCATTAGGTTTCATTTTTAAACAATGAAAAGTAGAAAGGTAACAGGACTATAAAATTGGTTTGGCATTAAATGAAATTTGGTTTCAGGGTATCCCGAATAATTTAGTTATATCCCGCTGATCTACAATGTCTACATTAGCACCTGATTGCATAGACTATAAACACTGTAGTAAGCTTTAACTATAATAACACCTAATTTTCTTTTTCAGAATGGCTGGTATGAGTACAGGTCTTTCATTAACGCAGTATGTCCATAAAGATCTCACAACATCAGCTGATCAGGTACTGCGCCTTGTATAGTGACTTATAATTAGCATTTGAAAAAAATAAATGTGGTATTGTAAAGGTTTTCACAAGAGAACAATCAAGCAAACAAAAAAAATGAATGAGAAGTGCAGTTAAATGCTTTTAAACATTATAAAGATTATAGCATGGTTAATTTATAATGGGAATACAGCAAGGTAATGTTAACCTGTAAAGTAACATGAAAGGAAATAAATTAAATTTTCAACTCAATGCCTCAGATAGAAGACATGAAACAACAATCCACAAACTTAACACATATTATTAGAATCTGGCTTAGATCAGTCGCTATGTAGTGAAGTAGTTAAAGTATTATCAAGCCTTCATTGTAAATCTGTACAATGTATTCAGTTTCATGAAATAATGGGAATCCCTGTTTGTTCTTCTGTGACATAAAAGCTAGAATAAAAACAGCAATAATAAAATTTGAATACATTTTACAAAATTAAATGAATTGATTTACATGTCTTTTACTTTTCTTTCACAGACTGCTAAAGCCATAGAAAATTTTGGGTTTACAGTTGAAGACCTGTTAACGAAATACAAAAAGAACATTATAAGTATGATTTGAATAGATATTAACAATGTATTTGTTCTGAAGTAGTTTGCAAATTATAATGACTGTCAATAGCTCAGCAGTAACACTTTGATAGAGATACAATATGTATGATAGTAACATCAGAAAAAAATATGTAGAACTGTTATTATGTAAAATTTGTGTGATAAAATTTCTTAAGACAGGGCTCAAGTTTAAGACCAGGTTCCTTAAAAAGTGAGGTGTTATAATTCTATGAATGAAAGGAAATGCCAGAAATCATATGCCAGTAGCAATAGAAACAAGTTGTTTATAGACTGTAACTGCTTTTATATGGTGGTAGTATTGTAAAAGCTTGCTGGATAATTCCACCAATTGCGCTGGCTGAGATTTTTCAACAAGGAATATTTTAAATATGTAGTTATATGTTAGGAAATCTTTAATGTTAACATTTAAGATTATTTATGAGTATGCTTTGAATAATTAAGGTGATATCTCAGAAAGTCATATGATCATTAGATTGTTATAACATTTAATAAGACTGTTAGATTGTTATAACAATTTTTAAGATTACATGTCAAAAAGGTTTTAACATTAAAGATTTCTTTGTCCATCTTTATCACTATCAGAATATTAAAGGAGAACAGTGGCAAAAGTCTACAACAATTAAGAAACATTGTTTTTTTTTTGTTCACAAAGAAAAAAAATTAGTCTCCCTGATTTTTGTCTCGCCTTGACAGAGTGAAAAAGCAAGACATAGGTATGCTGTTTCTGGCGGCGTCAACAATGTATTAGTTTGTTAGTAGGCCTAGTTCATGGTGAACCACTAGTGGTAGGTCAATGATATTTGGTATGCAATTGTATTAGCATTGGCACATCTCATTACCATGAAGATTATTTGCCCCCCCTCCCCTCAGTCAAGGTCTATTGACTTTGTAACTTTGCTTAGTTTACATGTATTAGTTTGTGATAAGGTCAGTTTATGGGGAACCACTAGTGGTAGGTCAATGATAATTGGTATGCAGTTGTATAAGCATTAGCACATCTCATTTCCATGGAGAATATTTGGTCCTTACCCCTCAGTCATGGTCTATTGACTTTGAAACTTTTGCTTAGTTTACATGTATTAGTTAGTGATTAGGTCAGTTTAAGATGAACCACTTATGTTAAGTCAATGATATTCGGTATGCAAATGTATTGGCATTTGCAAGTTTCATTTCCATGGAAATTATATAACCCCACCCCCTAATTATGGTTTATTGACTTTGAAACTTTTACATAGTTTACAAGTTAATGTTTGTGTTTAGGTTTGTTTAAAGGGAATGACTTATGAAAAGTCAATAGTATTTGGTTTGCAGTTGTATTAGCATTGGCACATCTCATTTCCATGGAGATTGTTTAGCCCTGTACCTTCAGTCATGGTTCATTAACTTTGAATATTTGCATAACTTACATGTTAAAGTATTGCTATTTTAATTTCAACATTTGCATTATCAAAATAACAAATAGGCGAGACATATCTCTGTGTTCACAGTTTATTTTATGATTTCCTATTTCAGTTAGTTTTATTCCTTCAATTACTTTTTAGCCAAAAATGTGGTTAGTCTTTTATTATGAAGAAAGGCAAATTATTTTAAAGTGCTGATATCTTTATGTCTTTCATAAAACCAGTGGTTACATTTTTAACCAGAAATTTAGAAAAAAAACCTTGTGTGAAGAATCTTAAAAAATACAAAGAAATATTCGTTCATTTAGTATCTCATTTATATCTGAGAAACATTAAGTCTGATGAAACTTATTTATTTTGCAGATGAACAATTTATATTGAACAGAGTTTCTGATTCAGCTATCGATATATATGCCATGGTTTGTGTCTTGTCCAGAGCATCAAGATCATTGTCCAATGGTTTAGAATCAGCCAAGCATGAAAGTACTATTTGTCACGTCTTTTGTGATGAGGTAAGATAATTGACACAGAAGGGTGAATAAAGTTTAGTTAGATAAATCATCATAAAAGGGTTTATTTATGCCCCCAGTTACTGAAACAGGGGATATTTTATCTTGAAATTCTGATATTGTTCTCTTACTTCACATGTTATTATAATATATTTTTAATAACTTAAAATTTCTTTGTGTTTAGTGATTCACATATGTTTTAATTGATTTTAATTATAAAAAAAAAGATAAATTTAAAGAGTGGAGGGGTGGGGTTGCTGCAAAAATTGACAGGATAATCCTCCCATCTAAATTGTTTTTATGAATCAGAGTTTCGGGTAGAATATTCTGTGCAATAAAGATGAAGAAAATGAATATTAACCAAGAAACAATTGCATCATCCTGATAAGAACTAGGAAGCTCTTGTGTTAAATATTAATTATTTCATTAGAGATGATTTCGAAGATGAGGGAGAGTTGTAAAAACATATCACTATTAACTCATTACTTGTAAGACAATGTAACTCTTTAAAAATAGAACAGAATAGAATTATAAATTAAAAGTAAACAGAAGAAGACTTCATTTCTAAGTATTTAATGATGATTGCTACAAATTTTTATTCATTTTTCATTTTTGGAAATGAATTATCAAAATTATATAAATTTTATTGGAGTTCTGAAAATATACAAAAATTGACCAGAAAACACATTTATCCTCACAATTTTTCAGAATGTACAATTTAAATATCGTGTTTTTTCTTCTATAATCAAAATCCAGGTGTGTTTATTTTATTTAATTCATTGATTTCTTGAGAATACATTACTGAAATATAGGTAACACAATTGAAGAGTTAAATCATTATTATTGCAGGCTTCACAGAAAATTGAGAAGAATTTAAAACTTACACATTCTGCTGGATCATTGAAGAATTATAAACAATTAGCTCAGATTTCTACAGATGTTATGGAAAATAATGGCACTATACAGGAACATCCTCTAGGATTTTAATGAAAGAGTAGCTAGGGATTCCAATGAACAAATAACCTACTGGCATTATAAAACATCCTAAATAATTATTAGTAAAAAAACAGTGTTCTAAAAAAGTTAGGTCAGAATGATGTATGCTTTGCTCTATCAATTGTTTATGTTTGAATTTTTAAAATAAAGTAGAAAATTAAAAATAAAATGTATATTTCTTCATTCTTATCATGTATATTAAAATTTAATAAATATATACAAAATTAAAGATAGAAAATTGCTTTATCAATAATTGAATATAGATGGACAATGTTTTTTGAACTATTGTCACATTTTTTCTTCTTGTTTAATATAAATAATAATCAATGTTTGTAAAATGTGTTGAAATGACCACATGGCATGTCAACACATTTTTGGCACCTTTTTAATTTAAGTTTTATGTGAGGATTGGAACTTTGATGGGCATCCACAATGTTGTTTGTGAAATAGAAGTTGGAATACTGAAAGCTTATTTTAAGGAAGAAAACCACTAATTCATAGTCCCTTGCTTTCTATGTTAAATTCTACAACTTCAAGCATTCATAGCTATTTTGTCAAGTTCAAATAAAGTGATAGTCATTTCATGTCAAAATTATACCTTACCCTTCATTGTGCTGAAAAAATCAACATCTCTTTAATTACATATTAGATTGCACTAGTTCCCAAAAGTTTGGTAGTGCAAAAACAAGTACTTTTGATCTGAGCAACAGGGAAAATATGCCTTCCTATCTGAATTTCATATATTTTTTATTTTTCAAAAGAAACTTTAAACAACAGTTCTACATTGATCCCAAATCCTTAAGCTTTCATTTGATACCAAAAATATCCAAATATTTTACTTATTGACAAAGTTACAGCTATGCATAGGAACTATTTTGTTTAAAATATGTACTAATTTCTTGTATGTTCTTTCAGACCGGGCCTAATTAGTGGTTTTATACCTATAAGAGAGAGATATAAAGCAAGGGAGAAGAACAGAATTATTTTTACAAAGTTTATAACACAAATGTCTTCTGTACAAATTGATGGTTATGATTCAGAGTGTAACATTCCTTCTTTACATGTAACTATATCCAGATTGTTATCTGATCTAATTTTTCTTTAAAAGGAATTTTCAGAATAAAAAAAGGTTTAAAAAAATTAGTTTTAAGGAGAATATTTGTCAAACCTAAAATGGTGATAAGGTTTTCATCTATGATAATCTTCAAAAAGTTGAAAAAACATGATAAAGTATATTTTATAATGACATTTCATCAAGTGGAAGTCATGTACCTTCTAGAATTGGATCATAAACCTGATTTTATCATACAAATGAGATTGTGAGAGAATATGATTAATTTTCTTATAACTATGAATTATTTTTGTGATTTGATACCACTGTAATGTTTATGTAATATATATATATGCACCTGTGTCTTTCAAAAGGACATTTTTTATGCGTTTTTACAGAACTTTTGTATAATGTGTTAGAGTACTTTTAAAACTTGCAACATAGTTAGTGGTAGTAATTTTCTGATATCATATTATTTCATCTAAACATTTTCACTTGTTTTTAGTTTTCATTATTATAGAAAATGACACAGTTAAACAATAACGAACAATAATTATAAATTCATGATTGTCACACAAAATGTAACTCCCTGAATTGTAGTAATCCTTATTGGAAATTATACTGATTTGCTGCAATACAGAGCAATGCTAAAAAGTAAAAAGAAAAAGAATGTCTAACTTTTATTTACAAACATTTCCATATTTATAATTGAGTTTGAATACAAGTATGGTGGAAGTAAAAAGACCATTAGTAATTTATATTTTTATATAAACCAAATATTATCTTAAGATTAACAAGGATAAAAAAAAACTGCTAATCCCTCAATCATAGTTGCAGATCTACTGCCCATCAAGGGAAATAACCTGCTTCAAAAAATAATTTTAGATTATAATTCATGTTTCAGTAAATGAGTTTCTTGAAACGGCTATGCATGAAGTAATATGGCAGTTTACAAATTGCTGTTTTTAATTTGCTGAAACAAAAGCTAGATATATTTCTGTGTTTATTGATTAAAATTGTATAATGTATGAATCTCAGTATGTAAATAGATAAAATATGAAAAAAAATGCTGCATTGGTGTTTTGTCTATATCTGTAGTTAATAAGCAATGCCTATCAATGCAAGTGTAAATATAATTATTTAAATATTGGGAAAATGGTTTATTTCTTAGTGTGTTTAAATGTGATAGATATAAAAAAAAAATTGATTCTCCTATGGATGTAGTAAGTATTATATATACTTAGCAAAAATGTGTTTTTTTTTTAAAAGTTTTCTCATCAAAGTATAAATAAATCTAACAGAAAATGTCATCCTTAGTCATATTAGTACAACTGTAGTAAGGTTTAAAATCTGCACTCATTTTGTATGTGACAAATTATTGTTTTATTTGCTGGAGTTAGTTTAGTTATATGTTTTGTTTTGATTATACTGAATTTTGATTTACTTAAAATGAACTCAGGACCAATGAATAATCATTTAGTTGTGCAAGAAATGAAATATAATTTACCTTAAAGGTAATGATTTCAAACAAACATGTTACTTTTGTTCTATCATGAATAAAAAAAAATACCGGCCATTTTATTGTTTGTCTCGTCCATAAGCCTTTTCAACTGCAATTAAAAACTATTAATAAATATCCTGACATTTTTTTCAAAGGGAATAGTGAGTTTCAAATGTTAAACATTGGTATAACTCAACACCTGAACAATTAGCTTGACTATGCTTTAAAAACAGATATAAAAGTTTTTTTTATGAAAAGCATTAGCTTTTATTGTCATGATGTACAGACTGAGACAATAAATAGATACTGGAAATTTCAATATGATTATGAATGAATGATGGAATCGGATTTACCGGTACAACAGATCATTGTTTTTTATTGTCGAGCCTGCGACTTTTGTCGCAGAAAGCTCGACATAGGGATAGTGATCAGGCAGTGGCAGCGTTAACTAACTTCTTAAAAGCTTTATATTTTAGAAGGTGGAAGACCTGGATGATTCATACTTTGTATATAGATGCCTTATGTTACGATGTACTTGACCTCATTTTCATGGTTCAGTGACTACCTACTTGAAAAAAAAGTTAAGATTTTTTGTAATGTTAATTTCTCTCTTATGAGTAATAGGATAACTATATTTGGTATGTGTGTACCTTGCAAGGTCCTCATGCCCGTCAGACAGTTTTCACTTGACCTCGACCTCATTTCATGGATCAGTGAACAAGGTTAAGTTTTGGTGGTAAAGTCCATATCTCAGATACTATAAACAATAGGTCTAGTATATTTGGTGTATGGAAGGATTGTAAGGTGTACATGTCCAACTGGCAGGTGTCATCTGACCTTGACCTCATTTTCATGGGTCAGTGGTTATAGTTAAGTTTTTATACGACCACAAAAATTTTTTGCGGTCGTATATTGGTATGACATTGGCATCGTCGTCTGAAGACACATTGGTTTTCGCACTCTAACTTTAGTTTAAGTGAATGGATCTCTATGAAATTTTACCATAAGGTTAAATACCACAAAAGGAAGGTTGGGATTGATTTTGGGGGTTATGGTACCTACAGTTAAGGAATTAGGGGCCAAAAATAAGCATTTTCTAGTTTCCAGACAATTACTTGTGGAATGGTGTATGGGTCTCTCTGAAATTATACCACAAGTTTCCATACCACTAAGGGATGGTTAGGATTTGCTTTGGGGGGTTATGGCTCAAACCGTTTAGGAATTAGAAAAAGGGGGAAAAACAAGGTTGTCCTGGTTAATGGACAAATACTTTAGTACAAAACATAATTTAAAGCAGTGTAAGGGAGATAAATCAAATACATTTGAATTACCTCCCTTATTCTGCTTTTAAATTATGTATAAAGTAATGGTTAATGAACAATTAAGACAGTTTAAAAGCAGTGTAAGGGAGGTAATCCAAATACAACGTTTTGATTACTTCCCTTACACTGCTTTTAAATTATGTTTAAAGAAATGCATATTTATAAAGGAAGACCAGAAATGTTGCATCTTTTTTTTTTTTTACAAAAAAATCCATATGAAAGATTTGACACCATATTTTAAATTCTATTATAAAATAGATTAAGTTAGCACTATGGTAAATTTAAATGGGTTATTATGGTTGCAAACTGCATTGGAAATTTGAACTGAGATTATGACCATATCTTGAGGGAAAAAAAATTTTGGGGGAAAAAAGGGGGGGGGGGGGGGGGGGGGGTAAAAAGAAATTGTGGGGGGTCAATTTTTTCTCATTTCAGATTTCAGAAATTAAAAAGAATTATTCTTCAAATATTATTTTTTTTCAAATTTCAAATATTGAAAAATTTCAAGAAGTAATCTTTAATTGCACAGTATGGCGCATTAGATTTGTAAAATCTTTGACCACATTTATTTCTTTGTTATGCCGAATCTAACCGTGTATTTAGATTTTTAATTTTGGGTCCCGTTTTTATACGACCGCAAAAAAATTTTTGTGGTCGTATATTGGTATGACATTGGCGTCGTCGTCGTCGTCGTCGTCTGGCGTCGTCCGGCGTCGTCCGAAGACACATTGGTTTTCGCACTCTAACTTTAGTTTAAGTGAATGGATCTCTATGAAATTTTACCACAAGGTTCAATACCACAAAAGGAAGGTTGGGATTGATTTTGGGGGTTATGGTACCAACAGTAAAGGAATTAGGGGCCAAAAATAAGCATTTTTGTAACTTCGAGACATAACTTGTGTGTTAGTGTATGGATCTCTCTGACATTGTACCACAAGGTTCCATATCACAAAAGGAATGCTGGGATTGATTTTGGGGGTAATTGCCTCAAAATTTTAGGAATTAGGGGCCAAAAAAGGGACAAAAAACAAGCATTTTTCTAGTTTCATGACAATAACTTGTGTGTAAGTGTATGGATCTTTCTGAAATTGTACTACAAGGTTCCATATCACAAAGGGAAAGCCGGATTTGAGTTTGGGGGTAATTGCAGAAACGTTTAGGAATTGGGGGCCAAAAAGGGGCCAAAAATAAGCATTTTTCTAGTTTCCAGACAATAACTTGTGTTCAAGTGTATGGATCTCTCTGAAATTGTACTGCAAGGTACCATATCACAAAGGGAAGGCTGGGATTGATGATGGGGGTAATTGCCTCAATATTTTAGGAATTAGGGGCCAAAAAGGGGCAAAAAACAAGCATTTTTCTAGTTTCAGGACAATAACTTGTGTGTAAGTGTATGGATCTTTCTGAAATTGTACTACAAGGTTCCATATCACAAAGGGAAAGCTGGGTTTGAGTTTGGGGGTAATTGCCCTAGACGATTAGGAATTTGGGGCCAAAAAGGGGAAAAAAACACATTTTTCTAGTTTCCAGACAATAACTTGTGTTCAAGTGTATGGATCTCTCTGAAATTGTACTGCAAAGTACCATACCACAAAGGGAAGGCTGGGATTGAGTTTGGGGGTGATGAATCATAAGGGGGTTCAAAAAATTTGGGGGGTGGGATTTTTTTTTTTCCTTTTTTTTCTTTTTTTCCTTTTTTTTTTTCTTTTAAAATTTTCCATTTTAAGTTGGTTATTTCTGATTTATATTTAAAAGCAAATAATTATGATATGGTAGGAGATACACACCAAACAGGATGTGTAAATTATTGTGCAATAGCAAGAAATTTTCAATTGCACAGTATTGCACAATAGCAAGAAATCTTCAATTGCACAGTATTGCACAATAGCAAGAAATCTTCAATTGCACAGTATTGCGCAATAGCAAGAAATATCCAATAGCACAATATTGCGCAATAGCAAGAAATTGTCAATTGTACAGTATTGCGCAATAGCAAGAAATATTTGATTGCACAGTATTGTGCAAAAGAAGATACTTCGTATAAATTGCTTATTTCTTGACCAATTTCAATGGGGTTTTATTCTTGAATTCTTGGGGTTCTTTAATATGCTGAATCTAACCGTGTATTAAGTTTTTGGATTTTGGGCCCCGTTTTTAAATTGGTCCACATTGAGGTCCAAAGGGTCCAAAATTAAACTTTGTTTGATTTCATCAAAAATTGAATCATTGGGATTCTTTGATATGCCGAATCTAACCGTGTATTTAGAATCTTAATTTTTGGTTCCGTTTTCAAATTGGTCTACATTAAGGTCCAAAGGGTCCTAAATTAAACTTAGTTTGATTTTAAAAAAAAATTTAATTCTTAGGGTTCTTTGATATGCTGAATCTAAATATGTATTTAGATTTTTGATTATGGGCCCAGTTTTCAAGTTGGTCCAAATCGGGGTCCAAAATTAAACTTTGTTTGATTTCAACAAAAATTGAATATATGGGGTTCTTTGATATGCTGAATCTAACCATGTATTTAGATTTTTTATTTTTGGGCCCCGTTATCAACTTTGTCCACATTGAGGTCAAAAGGGTCCAAAATTAAACTTTGTTTGATTTCATCAAAAATTGAATTCTTGGGGTTCTTTGATATGCTGAATCTAACCATGTATTTAGATTTTGGATATTGGACCATAATAGGTGAATGTCCAATTTAAAATGTTTAAGTTCTTAGACCACATTCATTCTGTGTCAGAAACCTATGCTGTGTCAAATATTTAATCACAATCCAAATGCAAAGCTGTATCAAGCTTGAATGTTGTGTCCATACTTGCCCCAACTGTTCAGGGTTCGACCTCTGCGGTCGTATCAAGCTGCGCCCTGCGGAGCATTTTATTTAAATTGGTCTACATTAAGGTCCAAAGGGTCCAAAATAAAACTTAGTTTGATTTTAACGAAAATTGAATATATGGGGTTCTTTGATATGCTGAATCTAAACATGTATTTAGATTTTTGATTTTGGGCCCAGTTTTCAAGTTGGTCCAAATTGGGGTCCAAAATTAAACTTTGTTTGCTTTCAACAAAAATTGAATATATGGGGTTCTTTGATATGCTGAATCTAACCATGTATTTAGATTTTTTATTTGTGGGCCCCGCTATCAAATTGGTTCACATTGAGGTCAAAAGGGTCCAAAATTAAACTTTGTTTGATTTCATCAAAAATTGAATTATTGGGGTTCTTTGATATGCCAAATCTAACCGTGTATTTAGATTTTTAATTTTGGGTCCCATTTTTTAAATTGGTCTACATTAAGGTCCAAAGGGTCCAAAATTAAACTTAGTTTGATTTTATCAAAAATTGAATTCTTGGGGTTCTTTGATATGCTGAATCTAAACATGTGTTTAGATTTTTGATTATGGGCCCAGTTTTCAAGTTGGTCCAAGTTGGGGTCCAAAATGAAACTATGTTTGATTTCATCAAAAATTGAATTCTTTGATATGCTGAATCTAACCATGTATTTAGATTTTGGATATTGGACCATAATAGGTTAATTAAAAATTTTTAACTTCTTAGACAACATTCATTCTGTGTCAGAAACCTATGCTGTGTCAAATATTTAATCACAATCCAAATTCAGAGCTGTATCAAGCTTGAATGTTGTGTCCATACTTGCCCCAACTGTTCAGGGTTCGACCTTTGCAGTCGTATCAAGCTGCGCCCAGCGGAGCATTTTATTGTGTTTTGGTCTGTTTTTCTTATACTGT